GAGCCACGCATGCAGAGGTGGCGGGCCCGAAGAATAGCTAGGCTGAGCCGAGCATTAACGTAGCCACGCACCACTGAGTAAGGGCGTTCCCACTTTGCAGTGAGCAAAGCATGGCTTTTGTCCTACGATCTTGGATCTTCTGTGCTGGATCCACATTCACGTTTGAATTTCGGTTCGGTTCCAAAATATTTTCGTTTCAATCTGGGATGACCGACAGTTATTGTCAGCCGTAAGTGACAGTCATAATAGAAACCAGTGATCGTTCTATATGTCGTCTCGTAAAAGCGCGGTTTTAGAGGACCAGTATAGACTTAAATGAAAACGTCAGTGCGGATTTAAGCAAGGATTTAAAGGTAGCAACTAGACTTAAAGAACCATTGCATCCACTCATTCTTGGCATCTTACTGTATCGGGCTTGGAGCTTAGCGGAAGCACAGCCACGTGTACTCGTACCCTCAGCGTTCGTACAAGGAACGCAATTTGCTTGCAATAGCGGGGGACAAAACGCAACCAAGTCCCAACCAAGAAAACAAGGCCCGGACAACTATACTTGATTGCATGCGCAAGGATTCAAAAGTCTCAATATAGTATACACTCAAATCAATCAATCAATCAATCAACAGCAGCAACGGGTAAAGATGAGTAATTCCCTCATGGAAACGAATAGGGTTCTTGGTGGAGATATTGAAGAAGAAATCGACTTTACGCATCCAGTGGACCTGGACAACGACAAGAGGTCAGCCACCGTGAGCAAGGGTCGTTTTGGAGACGATCCTTCCAGCGAGCTCCATTGCAGGGCCTGGCAAATGGAACAGCAGGACATGCTTCAGCTCAAGAGCATGGACGACGTGACTTTCGCAGTTGTGCAAGGTCAGGATCATGATGACTGGAACATCAATGGCAAGAAAACCGACCTGGAGAGTGACATCAGCAGTGAAGACGATGAGTCGGACGATGATGATGCTGACTTTGGTGGTGGTGATGGTGCTTATAATGATAATGATGGTGATAGCTGCAGTCGTGACAGTGTCCTCTCCGCACAGGCCCGAGAGAATCAACTCATGGCGGGCATCATCATTGGAATCATTCAAGGAAAAATTGTGAATGTTTTTGCAGCATGCTTTCGTTTCATGATCGACTCTATGATTGCTGTGTACAAATGGATTATCCAGAAATGCTCATCATCCTCATCATCAGACGAAGAGGGTGTCACGGATTTGGCGGCAGATCTGGCAGAGGATGCCATCGATGTGGGATACTTCCGTGCGGCCAACAACCAGTTTGCCAGTGGACTTGGTGCCGAGACCACTCCTGGGAATACAACTGCTATGAACCCTGGAGTACAAGCTACCCAACAGATGGCAACTATGGCAGCCCAAAGTGCAGCTACTGCCACTGCTTGTAAGTCTTCCAATGTCAAAGGAACCATGCACTCACAGTGATCACGTTTCACATACTAACTTTCAATACATTGTTGTGGCTACCATAACAGCATCTGCCACTGCTGCAGCCGCAGCAGCTGCATCTTCCTCCATTGCCTCCACGTTGGCTGGGGCTGTTGCATCAGTAGGAGTGGCATCCCAAGTAGGTGTGGCCGTGGGAGTTGCAGCAGTGTCAATCATTGCTGTTGTTTCCACAGCGGTTAGTGACCGTATGAATTCAGAGGGCCCCACAGCATCAACCACTTTTTTGGGGCTTGATGACACCTTTATCCCGCCTGTCTGCTCCCCGAATATGGATATCAAGCAAGGATATGTAGAGCTGCAGATTCAGTCACTGCCAAAGGAAGCATTGCCTCAGCACAAGTTGAAAATGGAGAGGATGTTCCGAACCCTCTACAACAACATCTCTGGACAGTGCTTCGATCCTCTACAAAGGGTTGTCCACAATGCTTCATTGGAACGCTGGGAGGAGACGGATGTTGATCCACAAACGACAATTACAACATTGTATTGGCAGGTGGGTTGGTCTGTGTGTTTCGTGTTTCGGCTGTTGGATTTGCCTTCAAGTTCAAATGAACCCTCACCCTTTACTTCAAATGAACTAAAATCAGGCCACTGTGGCTTGTAGTGGATGTCCTGGTGAGTTTGGACACAAAATGAGACTCTTTCACAGTTTCTTCATGCTCACATTATGTTTGCTTTCTCACACATTGTATCTGCAAGACTGGGAGCCTCTGTTTGATTCATCCATACTTCTTTCATCGGACGTGGAGATTGCCAGGGACACCATGTCAAATGCTACGGCAAACACAACCACAATCACAGATAGCAATGTGACAGCTATGATGCCATCCAATAAAACCAACGGAACATCACCACAATCAACAGCAGTTACTGGCAGCCTCAATCCCGAAGAACAACAACTACAACAAGTTCCTTCTTTGGATGAGTTTTTTGCCGTGTTTGCAACAGCCTTTGGCTTCAATTTGGGACCATTGCTGGAAGAAGCCAGTGATGGTGCAATCATCATTGAAGCTGACGATGAGGGGTCGCCCAAAGTGGTGTTTGCCACTACCAAGGCAGCTCCTGGCTTTGAAGGCAGTAATGGAACTGTTTCGATAGGAGAAGCCGCTTTGGAACAGTTTGAAGACTTTGTGCAGACCAACAATGGAAATGTTCAAACCCCATTCATCACTGATGACCTCACATCATTGGCTGATGACCTCTCATGATTGGCTGATTGTATCGATATTGTAGACTCCGGGAACAAAGCTAGCGGCAATTGTGATCAGGTTCAAACATTGCTAAGGGACAAGGACAGACAAATTGAGCCTGAGATTGTGGCAGCTTGTATCGCAGACCCAACCAGCACCACCCAATGCCAAGAATTGCTCATGGTGATCCTAAATGTCTCACCAACAGGAGATCCAGGTGCCTCCAGTCCACTGTTGGGATCAGCCGCAGAGAATACAGAGTACCAGGATGAGCCTACGACATCTCCTGGAATGCTAGTGCCTCATGAAGAAGGCATCCAAGAGACCACCAGCCTTGCAAATCAACTGGCATCCAATGTGATTGTTGGCAAACCCGCTCCATTGTCACCAACTAGTTTACTCAGGCCAACCCATGACCTAGCTGGCGGATATGCTCCATGGTCAATTCCAACCCATGAGCTATCTGGTGGAAATGCTCCATGGTCAATTCCTGCTCTTGTACCAACCACATCAACAGCTGACAGCACAACGTTGTCACCTGCTGACATGGCCAATGATGCCCCCATTAAGTCCATCTCCATTCCTGTTGCCCCCACAGTTCCTGGCAGCAATCCAGTTTTGGCAACACCTCTCCATGTATCAGCTGGACCCATGCCTGGACCTTTACTGGTTTCAAAAGAAGCACCACCAACAGCCCAATCCGCTGCAAACCCATTGGCAGCATCCATCAATAATGGGCCCACAATTAGTCCAGCTCCTGGCTCCAGTCCGGTTTCAGCACCATCACCCCAAGTATCAGCTGGACCCATGCCTGCACCTTTACTGGTTCCAAAAGAATCATCACCAACACCCCAATCTGCTGCAAACCCATTGGTAACAACTATCAATAATGGACCCACAATTAGTCCAGTCAAAGGACCAAGTGTCAGCTCAAAAGAAGAAGGTACCAAGTCTCCCAGCAAGCTGCCAGTCACTTTGTCCATACCTACAGTGGCTTCTTTAACAGAAGCCCCCCTCTTGGCATCTTCTGAACCGATGCCTTCAACCACAGCCTCCCCTACCATTTCCGGACATCCTTCTGCAGATGCCTGGCTGTCACAGGAAACCAATGTAGGCCTACTCAAATTTACAAACAACAAAGAACAGCAGACGACACCATGGTCTTTAGGACATCCGGATACTCTTGCTCCGACCAGTGTAGCATCCTTGTCTGGAGAAACTGAATTGGAACTGCTTAAGTATGTGCTTCACCTCGGCAGTCTTGCTGCCAGAGCCCTCAACCCCTTTAATTGTTTTTCCTGCTACGGTGGTCCCTGCAGGTATAAGGGTAGGGTTAGAATACAAATAAGTCAACGGAAACTAAATAAGTATTTCGTCTCCATGAGACGACGCACCTTTTGGTTACCCCCTCAGTTGCACTCTGAAATCGATTGGCTCGCGTTTACTGTATAAATTAGTGTATCCGCACTTCAGTTGCAGAATCAACGGTCATGTGTATCGTTAAGTAACAAGTTCCCTTTCGAAAGATTTAGATCGATTCGTGGATAAAAAAACCGTTATAGTTACTAAGGTTAAAGATAAACTGATTGAGTACCGATGGTCCCTCAGTCGAGCGATTACTGAAGGCGGAGCACTGACTTCTCTCCCTCATTGAATTCGTATGGTAAACAGGAGGTAAATCCAAGCTTGGCCGACAACAATGTTGAATCGATCGATCGATCGAACGTCTGGTTCGGTACTGTACGAGGTAAGCCTCTATTATCAAGATAGTTATTGAAGGTGCAGATTCGAAAGCCATCCCTCATTGAATTTCTATGGACCGTGGGAAGGCAGTCAGATCTCGGCCATCAACAGGTGAGTTGTTTTAATTATTCGAGTGACGAGTCAGTCGCACCTCTACCGGTACCGGTACCATATTATCCAAGCCTCACTCAAGCCGGTCGTCTCCGGTGCAGATTCGAAAGCCATCCCTCATTGAATCCTATGGACCATGGGATGGCAGTCAGTTCTCAGCCATGGACGGCCAAGTTGGAGAACAAGGGTAAGTCGCCGGTTTTCTTCTGTGTCAGAATAGAAGAGAAAACCATAGCTATTTCTTACTTTCTCTTCTCTTACTGCTGACGGCCGGCGAACTACCATTGTCGAGTCCTTTTCGGTCGCTCCGAACAACAAGAGGAGAGGCTTCGATCGATCGCTACAAACAAGAGGATGCTCTGTTAACTCCAGCCCTATCACCAGCCTGAACATCGACGAGTCATTGAATGGCAACAGTCGTCAACCGGAGGAGGAAGCTATACGACACACGACAACACACAAGAGAGTGGATCCTCCTACCGGATTCATCCCTTCTTATTATTTTCTACTATTTTGGTGGTGATTCCTGTGTCGGTACCCATTTTCCTGTATGTGCAAGTCAAGTACTGTTGCCACTAGCTATACGGCAGCTGGCTACAATGGCTGGATTAACAATATTCGGTTGTGCTTGTATTCATCATAAGGATCCAATGCGAGGTAACCAACTGCAGCAAGCAAAGTCGAACCTGAGTGTGTTCGGTACTGTTGCCTCTGTCACCGATTGATGTAACTCTACGGTAACTGGCTACAATGGCTAGATTGACAATATTCGGTTGTGCATGTATTCATCATAAGGATCCAATGCGAGGTACCGGTAACCGTAGCGAGCAAAGCCGAACTTTCGGTACTGTTGCCATTGTCGTCGATGTAGCTATACCGCAGCCGGCTACAATGGCTGGATTCATAATGTTCGGTTGTGCATGTATTCGTCATAAGGATCCAATACAAGATACCAGCAACGGAGTGTAGCCAGCAAAGCGGAACCTGAGTGTGTTCGGTACTGTTGACACTGTCGCCGATGTAACTGTACGGTAGCCTGCTACAATGGCTGGATTAACAAAATTCGGTTTTGTGCATGTATTCGTCATAAGAATCCAATGCGAGGTAACCGAGTGCAGCGAGCAAAGCCGAACCTGAGTGTGTTCGGTACTGTTGCCACTGTCACCGATTGATGTAACTCTACGGTAACTGGCTACAATGGCTGGATTGACAATATTCGCTTGTGCATGTATTCGTCATAAGGATCCAATGCAAGGTACCGGTAACGGAGTGCAGCCAGTAAAGCGGAACCTGAGTGTTTTCGGTACTGTTGCCACTGTCACCGATTGATGTAACTCTACGGTAGCTGGCTATGATGGCTGGATTGACAATGTTCGGTTGTGCATGTATTCGTCATAAGGATCCAATGCAAAGTACTGGTAACGAAGTGTAGCGAGCAAAGCGGAACCTGAGTGTGTTCGGTACTGCTGCCACTGTCGCTGATGTAACTATGGTAGCCGGCTGCAATGGCTGGATTGACTGGTACCAGGTACCGTATTCGTCATAAGGATCCAAACTGAGGCAAAGGGATACAGGAGACGAGCGCTGAAAAAACCCGAATCCTAGGATGGTGCTTTTAAACCAGCTAAAGCTATTTACATGCATCCTAGCTAGTACGGGGCTCCTACCAGGAAAAACTCTAAAGCTAGTGAAAGCTATATAACTAGTATTCTAGCTAGCTAGGGGTATCTGCTTCTAGCTTGCTATCGGAATCTGCTTCTAGCTAGGGGGGTCTGCTTCTACCTAGCTAAGTGCAAGTTGAGCACTAGCTAAGCACTACAGGTATTTGCTTCTAGCTAGCTAGAGCTATAGGGGTATCTGCTTCTACACTGAAACCTTTCTGCCGAGGTTATACAGCTCCGCTGGCTTAAATTGGCAGTATCATGGCTTTCTGAAGTCAAAATGTGCATGGAACAATCTAAACCTTGCTCCTTTCAATGTAGGTTTTCAGCTAAAACCGGTGATGCACCTAGAACTGAAAATCTAATCACATCTCCACCTCTACCAAGTCCAAAAGTAACAATTTCCCTGCCCATCAATGCAAAAACCAATCAACCTACCTACCAGGCAACCAAAATTCCAACTAGTCAACCCACTGGTTTTCCATCGCTGATTCCAACTGGTTCGCCAATCACTAATCCAACCACAGCTCTCCCAACCAATCTTCCCACAATTGGCCCCACAATAGCACCTTTAGCCTTCGCTCCTTCAGGCCAATCAACACAAGGGTGCACCCAGACATTCTTGGATGTAGAAGCAACGTACTATGTGATGTTTGATGAGGACCCAGACTCACTATCTGATGAAGATTTCGGACTGAACTTTTACAATGGTAAGCCATAAGATTTCAGTTGTGAATGTCGACATCCTAACTTCTTGACTTAAAACCACACTTTGTACTGCTGTCTTCATTTCATGAACTTGACAGCATATGCAGCGCTGGGGATGACTGGGTGTGCTCCTATTGTCACTGAAGCCATCTTTGTAGAAAAGGTTTATCGCCGGCGGTTGTTTGGAGTAACTCCAAGCAAAATAGAACGGCATCTACAGCTGGATATGCAAGTTGAGTTCTTGGTGAAGTCAAGGCAAACATCTTTTGATCCAATCATGACAGCTGATGAAGACATTCAAAGCTTTCTTCGTGAGTTCACTGATGGAATGGTAGGGAGCACAGCCACGGCTATAGCATTCAGTACATCTCTTGTGACAAGTTCGCCAACCACAAGTCCCACCAGCCAGCTAACGTATCAACCTACAGAACCTCTTACAAGCCAACCATCACTTCAGCCCACACCAAATCCAACGGTACTTCCTGGTGCCCCGAGTCTAAGCCCAACAACTGCCAACCCAACTGCTGCAACAACTGATCAACCATCTGGCCAACCAACCAATTTGTCAACTGTTGCACCAACCAAGGCGCCCACGAGTCAACCAACAATGATTCCAACAGACTCCCCCTCAGGCTCTCCAACCAGCAATCCAACTCCTCTTCCAACAGTATTTCCTGGCTCCCCTAGTGCAAGCCCGACAACTGCCAGCCCTACTGGTGCACCAACTGTTCTACCACCCAAGGCACCCACCAGTCTACCAACAAGGATACCTTCAGACCCCCCCACAGGCTCACCATCAAACAATCCAACTCCTGTTCCAACTGTGTTACCTGGCGCCCCAAGTGCTAATCCAACGGCTGGAGCTCCAACTGATGCACCGACTTATCAACCATCTTCCCGACCAACCAATTTCCCAACTGTTACACCAACCAAGGCACCCACCAGGCAACCAACAAGAATTCCAACAGACTCACCAGCAAGCAATCCAACTAGATCTCCAACTCCTATTCCAACAGTAATTCCTGGTGCCCCGAGTGCAAGCCCAACAACTGTCAGCCCTACTAGTGCACCCACGGGTGAACCTACACCCTCTCGAACAAAAGGTCCTACAGACCAGCCCACCATCAGCCCAACTGAAGTCCCAACAAAAAGGACAAGTTTTGCACCATCGGATTCTCCAACCAGAATCCCAACAAGCCCACCGAGCAGTCAGCCCACAAAGCCACCAACAATCCATCCCTCAGGACCTCCCACAACTCATCCGACCAACCTCCCAACAGAAATCCCTACTGTGTCTCCTACTCCTATCCCTACAGTCTTCATTGGCTCTCCCAGTGCTCTACCAACAACAGGAAGTCCAACATCAGGGACCCCCACAAGAACACCGAGTATTCCACCTACGGGCCTCCCCGCTGGGCCCCCGACAAAGAGCCCAACAGTTCAGCCTACCAGCGTTCCCACAAATCAGCCAACCATGTTTCCAATGAGGCAACCAACCACAGCAGTGCCCACTGCTTTTCCTGGCTCTCCGAGTGTTAGCCCAACTAGAGCACCGACTAGAGTACCTACACAGACCCCGTCAAAGAGTCCATCAAAATCACCTACAACATCAACCCCCAGCAAATCACCAACGAAAACACCAACTCTGCGCCCCAGTATGCTTCCTACAAGTATCCCAACCTCCAAGCCAAAAACAAATCAGCCAACCATGTTTCCTACGTGGCAGCCAACCACAGCTGTCCCCACTGCTTCTCCTAGCTCTCCAAATGTTAGCCCAACTAGAGCACCAACTAGGGTCCCGACACCGACTCCGACAAAGACTCCATTGCGAGCACCCACAACATCAAACCCCAGCAAATCACCAACCAAGACACCAACACTACCTCCCACTATGCTTCCTACAACTGTCCCAACCCTCGATTCAACTGGGAGCCCCTCCAGATTGCCAACTATTGTACCTTCTGCTGGGCCAACAAACAACCCAAGCACTTCACCCACTGCCGAGCCCAGCAAAATGCCCACAGCCATCCCAACAAAAACTCCCACTCCCATTCCAACTTCTACTCCTGGTGTGCCTAGTGCCAGCCCCACAACAGCAATTCCGACAAGTGCTCAAAGCAATACACAAAGCAATGCTCCAAGCCAATCCCCAACAGTATCTCCGACAAGATCACCAACTATTTCACCTAAGCAGTCCCCAAACATAGCTCCAACTGCTTCACCATTAAGGGCTCCCTCAATGATCCCTTCATCTGATCCATCAACTTTGCCCTCTGGTAATCCAAGCTTGCAGCCATATTCGAGTCCATCCTCAATGATCCCTTCATCTGATCCATCAAGTTTACCCTCTGGCAATCCAAGCTTGCAGCCATATTCGAGTCCATCCTCAATGATCCCTTCATCTGATGCATCAACTTTGCCCTCTGGTAATCCAAGCTTGCAGCCATCTTCGAGTCCATCATCAATGATCCCTTCATCTGATCCATCAACTTTGCCCTCTGGCAATCCAAGCTTGCAGCCATCTTCGAGTCCATCCTCAATGATCCCTTCATCTGACATCAACTTTGCCCTCTGGCAATCCAAGCTTGAGCCATCTTTCGAGTCCATCATCAATGATCCCTTCATCTGATCCATCAATTTACCCTCTGGCAATCCAAGCTTGCAGCCATCTTCGAGTTCATCCTCAATGATCCCTTCATCTGATGCATCAACTTTCCCTCTGGCAATCCAAGCTTGCAGCCATCTTCGAGTCCATCCTCAATGATCCCTTCATCTGATCATCAATTTCCCTCTGGTAATCCAAGCTTGCAGCCATCTTCGAGTCCATCCTCAATGATCCCTTCATCTGATCCATCAAGTTTACCCTCTGGCAATCCAAGCTTGCAGCCATCTTCGATTCCATCCTCAATGATCCCTTCATCTGATCCATCAACTTTGCCCTCTGGCAATCCAAGCTTGCAGCCATCTTCGAGTCCATCCTCAATGATCCCTTCATCTGATGCATCAACTTTGCCCTCTGGCAATCCAAGCTTGCAGCCATCTTCGAGTCCATCCTCAATGATCCCTTCATCTGATCCATCAAGTTTACCCTCTGGCAATCCAAGCTTGCAGCCATCTTCGAGTCCATCCTCAATGATCCTTCATCTGATCCATCAAGTTTACCCTCTGGCATCCAAGCTTGCAGCCCTCTTCGATTCCATCCTCAATGATCCCTTCATCTGATCCATCAACTTTGCCCTCTGGCAATCCAAGCTGCAGCCATCTTCGAGTCCATCCTCAATGATCCCTTCATCTGATCCATCAAGTTTACCCTCTGGCAATCCAAGCTGCAGCCTCTTGAGTCCATCATCAATGATCCCTTCATCTGATCCATCAAGTTTACCCTCTGGCATTCCAAGCTTGCAGCCATCTTCGATTCCATCCTCAATGATCCCTTCATCTGATCCATCAAGTTTACCCTCTGGCACCAAGCTTGCAGCCCTCTTGGATCCATCATCAATGATCCCTTCATCTGATCCATCAATTTCCCTCTGGCAATCCAAGCTTGCAGCCCTCTTGAGTCCATCATCAATGATCCTTCATCTGATCCATCAAGTTTACCCTCTGGCATTCCAAGCTTGCAGCCATCTTCGATTCCATCCTCAATGATCCCTTCAATTTTGCCCACCGGCAATCCAGCTTGCAGCCATTTCGAGTCCATCATCAATGATGCCTTCATTGAAGCCATCAAATTTGCCCTCTGGCCATCCAAGCTTGCATCCCTCTTCAAGTCCATCACAGCTCCCCTCAAGTGTCCCATCAGGTCAACCCAGTGATATTCCATCAAACTTGCCCTCCATCCATCCAAGTTTGCATCCCTCTTCAAGTCCATCACAGCTCCCCTCAAGTTTCCCATCAGGTACAACCCAGTGATATTCCATCAAACTTGCCCTCCATCCATCCAAGTTTGCATCCCTCTTCAAGTCCATCACAGCTCCCCTCAAGTTTCCCATCAGGTCAACCCAGTGATATTCCATCAAACTTGCCCTCCATCCATCCAAGTTTGCATCCCTCTTCAAGTCCATCACAGCTCCCCTCAAGTTTCCCATCAGGTCAACCCAGTGATATTCCATCAAACTTGCCCTCCACCCATCCAAGTTTGCATCCCTCTTCAAGTCCATCACAGCTCCCCTCAAATGTCCCATCAGGTCAACCCAGTGATATTCCATCAAATAGTCCCACGAAAATGCCCACACCTGTTCCAACCATTGCTCCTACAGCTGGATATGGTAAGAGGACACTGAATGCCATTTGACATGTTGGTCCTTTGCTTGTGCTCTTACTTGTCATATTTGCTTCTGCAATATCTCTTAGTGTTCCCAGACAAGCCGACTCTCATTGATGCCTTGGAGCAAGGGGATTATTCACCAACAGGACCTTATGGTAAGACACAATTGTTCCCTCTTCCCAAGCAAAATAGAAGCATTTTGTCATGTCCTCATGCATTCCACCTTTTTATTTAAAGGCACCATTACAACATGGAATGTACAGGCAGTTGACAACTTCAGTAAGTATGCTAACCTATTGTTCTATATTGTGACTCCATGATCTCACAAGTTTCACTGTCGATTCCATTGCCTTGCTTGCAGGCAGCTTGATAAACAGCATATCAAGTGTGTCTACCTTCAATGGTGATGTCAGTAACTGGGGTAAGTCAAATGTCTTGGTTATCATTTCTTTGTATGAAAGTCTAGTCTAAGACTGCCATTCTGTTCCACCTTTGGTTTGCAACAAAAGATACCAGCAGTGTGACCACAATGGAGTTAGCTTTCTTTGGCGCCAGCTCCTTCGATGTTGATCTCAGTTCCTGGGGTGAGGCATGCAAATCTACTGTTTTGTTTGTATTACATCCTGTCTGGCTTTCTTCTAACTCTTTACAACATATTCTCACGATGATAGATACCAGGAAGGTAACATCACTAGGTCTTACCTTCGCTAACAATGCCTTCAATGGAGATGTCAGTACCTGGGGTAAGTCAAACATCTTGAATATCTCCAGCTCTTGCCGGACACAATCGTGACAAAAATTCTTCCAAGAACACCTGCATACTGACATTCTTGTGTTGTCCTTCTTTATTCCACATGGGCATTCATAGATACAGGAAATGTTGTATACCTCGGTTTTACTTTCTATCTTAATTCAGCCTTTAATGGTGATATTAGTTCCTGGGGTCAGTCTTTTGCTGGCTGTGTTGTTTATATGGTGTTTTCTATGCTGACGTTCTCATTATGCTGATCTCAATTAATTGGTAGATACCAGAAAGGTCACAAAATTGGATGCTACATTCGATAATGCAGCTGCCTTCAATGGTGATCTCAGTTCCTGGGGTAAGTCAATCCTGGGCTATGGCATGGCTTTCTTAGGAAAGCTGTTTCTGAATATTCCTGTTTCCATTTCCCCGTACTGATATGATTAGATACCAGTCAAGTTGATTCCTTGGTGCGGACATTCAGAGCGACAGCTGCATTCAGTGGTGATCTCAGTTCATGGGGTAAGTCCAGGCTCCCGGCAGTCAGTGTTTTTTCAAGAGACACTTCGATCATAACCTTCAATGGCTTCTGCGCATTTCCTTGCGTTGCCTACTCTTTGCTGACAATTACAGATGTCAGGAAGGTCACAAGCCTGGCTGAAACATTCGAAGGTGCCACCTTGTTCAAAAGTGATATCTCCAACTGGTACGCCCAATCTTTGTGCAAAGTAGACTTCTCAATTGGATGTTGATACTAGCCTCACATTTGTGTTTTCCTCCTCTTCCTTCTGATTTGTTGAAGGGATGTTGCATCCGTGACAACCTTTAACGGCATGCTGGATGGTGCTTCAGCTTTTGACCATGATTTGTGTTCCTGGGGTACCAAGATCACAGGCACTCCAGATGTCACTGATATGTTTTTGAGTACCTCTTGTCCTGAATCAGCAACAGTGGTTAACTTGGCTGCATCTCTAAAGGGGCCTTTCTGCTACACGTGCTCAGCCCCCACCAAAGCACCAACCAAAGCACCAACCAAAGCACCCACAAAGACACCAAGCCAGGAGCCAAGCATAGTTCCAACCCTGTAGGAACGACTTGAGGAATTCTCGCGTTCTTTGTCCCGGTGGGAGGCACAGCAAAATCTGTGAGACGTGGTCTACTTTAGCTAGCTAGGAACCAAAGGTCCGCACATCTACTGGCTAGCTAGAGACAACCGGGGCTCAAAGCGGCAAAACTTCCTGTAGATCTTTTTAGAAACAACTGTTAACCAAGCAAACTTTGACCGACCTGGGCACTGTCCGCTTCCAAGAGAATCGACGACGCAAGCAAAACAAAGTCTTCCTCCTTGCTGCCACTGCCGCAGACGAAAGCCTTGCGCAGACACTTGAGCACGTCCTCATCGGCACCATGTTTCGACCATGTACTGTAGAGCCTCCATACCTGGTTCGCAACGATAGCTCCAATCTTCTCCTTCCGACCATAGGTAGCTAAGTTGAAAGGGAGATCGTGTCGAAAGAAAGCAAAGACTTGCCCCAAGGAGGCATCCGAAAGACCAGGTAGCCGGTCTGTCGAATGAATCCATACGTAGGCCATCGATAAATCACCATCGGTGGCTACATCACTGCACCACGAGGCCACCAGAATGCTCAACAGGTCTACCCCAATTGCACCCGCCGACGGTTGACATAGAAGCAGCTGCTCCAGGATAGACAGCAAAACTTCGCGGCGTTCCGGTGCAGTCAAAACTTTGGTGGCTGCTGCCACGGCGCATGCCACACGCCTCATGGTGTCCACGTACATTTCAGCTCCCAACGAAATGAACTTGCGTGAAAACCATGCCATGACCTTGGAAATCTCTCTCTTGGCTCGGGCAGCATCTCCAAAGTAGCGACACCGCACTAGCTCCAATACAACAAAGGCCCTCAAGACTTCCCCGGAGAAACTATCTTCCTCTTGAAACGTGAAAAGGTCGAATTCTTCGAGAGAGGAAAGGGGTAATGCAGTCAAACAGGAAACATATCCTTTCAAGATAGATCCCTCCTCCTGTGCCGCCTTGGCCCCCAACGAGGTCGCCCACTGAAGCTCCCGCAAATCACTAAAGATTCTTTTCGTAACAAAGTGTTCCAAGAACTTGGTTGTTTTTGGAGACAAACTGCTTTGCTTGCCGCTCTTGCCCTGGGATTTAAGAATGACTTGAATTGATTTGAGGAATGCAACCAGCAGATTGGTGTCATCCGACAGGGACAAGCAGTTTTGCCACAAATTCATAGAACCATTCTCGACCAACTCAGCAGGCAACGAACGTACGACGCCCACAAGACACTTGACAAATGTTGCTGGTGCCTTCCCATTACCGAGAAGAGAGTTGAATGACACCAGCGGCATGATGGAAATTTGCAGTGCCATGTTGGTGAAATCGTTCCTTCCCCTTTGTCTGTTCACTTGCGCAGAAAGCAGAGCGAGACATCCTTCTTTGGTTGAATCGTTGTCCTCGCTGATCAAAGGCTCCAAAAAGTGCTTGGCGAAGTGCCCCGGCAAAGAAAGAGACTCTAGGCAGCGCATGTATCGCATCATGTCCGCTGTCTGGTCACCCTGTTCGCCCCCGTGCGCCCTCTGCATGAGAGACATGATGTCGTACAAGAGCGTTCCAGGAGCAGCCCCGGGGAGTAGCGCAAAATCAAGCTTCAGTCCTTTCAGCTTCGACTGAGTCGTTTGCGATGGTGGCTTGTCCTGGGAAGGCGAAAGGCTAATGTCGGCTGGTTGATTTTTCATGGACGCCAGCAAACCCAACAACATCACGGCTGTTTTGGAATAGTCTGGCCTTGAATAATCAGTGTGCGCTTCGAGGACGCCAGAAACAACCTCTAGAACACTCTCTGAAGTGGGTTTTGGTGTGTCCAGTCGCACCTGAGCAGGCGCAGTCATGATTCGAGACATGAAGCCCAAGCAAGGGAAAGAGCCAACCGACACAATTGCCCCTACCAAGGGCGATGTACATCTATTGTCGTCGAAGCGGATTGTGGTTCTGGTCAGGAATTCTCGGATGATATGCGGAGATGGATTCTTCGACGCTCCATTGACAGCGTAGAATAAGTCTTCACTAAAGTCGGGCGCTTCTCTCTCGCTCAGACTCTGCTCAAAGATTCTACCATACTCTGACACGATCACGTCGAATTCGTCCTCCGTCAGTACGCCAGACGACTTTGCCTCGTGAAGGACAGGAACTAGAGCAATACCTTTTCCGCTGCCCCACATGAATCTTTCGAGGAAGAAGAGGCTTCCCAATAGCAAATCTCCATTGACATGAGAAAGGGACGGAAGGCTGAGGCCCAGACTAATCATGAGGTACCTCACCGTTTCAATCTTTGCCGGAGGAATTGCGAATTGCTCTGAAACCGAGTCGGCGAGTGATCCCACTAGATTCGGAGTGGATACCCCGGATTGCAAGCATGCCACGAGCGTTGTAAGGATGTCACTTCTGTTGTTGGATTCTCCTGTACATGCTACTAGCTCTCCAACGAGGAAACCAACGATTTGACCAATCTTCGACCGCGTGCGAGTCTCGCCACCGATTCCACCAAGTGACTGCACTCGATCGGTATGCGAAATCGCCTGTGCGATGATTGCGAGTCCGTAGGCAGCCCCAAAGCTTATCTGTCCCCCGTACCCTTTGACGGACTGCTCCAACGCTCCAATAATTTCAAACACGCGTTCCTGGAATCCCCAGCGCAAACAAGTCACAGCCGTCAGGGCCAATGAAATCTTGGCGCAATCCGAGTTCTTGAACTGTAGATTGCGAAACGCATTCCAGATCTCTCCTTGGATCTGGTCCACTCCCATTCTCTCGTTCTTGTCTTCTCTTTTTGGAACGTACAACGACAGGGCTGCCATGGAGAAGTACATAGCGTCATTGTTGCCTGTGTGAAGCCCCCATCTGCGGACTTCCTCTAGCGGCTGGCTCAGACCTCTAAACTTGGGTCCCTCGTACAGATGGGATAACAGTCGTGAGCAGGAATTGAGCCACGCTTGAACCAGGAAGACCAGTGTCATGGGTTCCCGTTCCTGGAAGGAAACCTCCCCAGCCAGAGCGAGGAACTTGGACAGCGACTTTCCTTCGAAACACAGTAGTCTGCCCACGCTGGACGACGCCGACGGCATCTTTTTGTGTAGACTCTGAAGCTTGCTGGGCGATGGGAGTGACACTGCATCCTTAGACAATGCTTTGTTGCTTTCAATTCGCCTTTGTTGCCCCACATGGTGTCGCGTCCCCTTTGTTTTCCACAGCGACGAAGCAAGAGCTTCCTCTTCAAACTGGAGCACCGTCGAGTTCAGATTGAGAATTATTGTGTCAAAGCCATCAACGAGTTCGCGGAAGGAGGATGGCAGTTGCATTCCATTCACAGCCAGTTTCCGCAAGGACATGTAACGTGAAGCGGTCAAAGGAGGGTTCTCTCTACTTGCTTCCCCACCCTCCTCGTGCCACGAGAGGGTTGCCTTGACCCCATCTTCATCCAGGCCAAGCGCATCGAGAGAGTATCGGGACAATGAATAGTAAATATTGCGACGGATCCTGGCAATGAGTTCGACGGAAGTTTCATTGTCGGCCTCTATCGTTTCGAATTGGATACCCAAATCAATCAACACCTGCACTGCTCCAACGACTTGTGGCGAAATGTCGGGCACTTCCGGTTCTTTCCCGCCTTCGTCGTCTTCTTCGTCGCTGCTATCCTCTTTGCATTCGCCATCTCCGAGTAATAGTGCCAATGCTTCTTGGATGACGGGTGGAAGATGCTGGACTTCGTCAATGGATGTGACGGCACATAATTTCTTTTTCATCACCTTGAGTACCAGTGCAAAATCCAGTTCTTGGGCAATGACAAGATAATGCAACGCCAAGATAGCATAATGAACAAGCAATGCTTTGGAGGGAGATTCCGAGTAGTCTTCAACGAGAAATTCCTGGATCCACCCAATGCAATCTATTAATTTAATCGTTGGCCGAGAACGGCACAAAAAAAAACAGGCAAGGCAGAATGATGAGTGGTTTGCAAATGCAATGACATTAATTAATAGAGTGTCCGAGCGACAGCAAATGTATGTGCACGTACCAGCCGGGTCTCGAATCAGATCATCCTTGGCCAGATCGACAATGGACGCGGCCACGGCCAATCGAATCTCCATGACTTCGGTTTGAATCATCATGCTATCCGGCGTTTCCACGCCGACACCGACCGTATTACTATTCTTGCCATCTCGATGTTCCCCCAACGTGTCCACGACACGCCGATAAAGTCGCTTGTTGACGAGACAGAGCCGTGGCAACAACCGAAGGACGGCACACCGCAGAACAACTGGCGTCTGGTTTGGATCCAGCATTTGCACTCCTAGCAAGTTCCATACCTGTTGGGCACAACTGGGATCTCCCGTGACGCTGTCGGCCAAGAATTGCAACTTGCCCAAAAGTTCCGTGGGCGATTTTTCCACGGCGGCGGCATTAATGTCGGAAATGAGGCTCGGTGTCAAGAGCAAGCCGAGATGGGGATATCGCTGAAGCAACGTCTTTAAAAAGTTGCGGGCGGCATCACAAAACTGATTCGTAGTGTTGCTCTTGGTGTTTTGGTTGTCCATGTTGCTGTCATTATCATTGTCATCGTCATTGGTGTGCTGGTTGTGCCCCATTTCTTCTTCGGTAGTGACTTCCATGAGACAAATCCCCAAGAGTAATGTTTCCACCTGTTTGGCACTGGACAAGTGCACGAGTTCGTGGGCATTGACACGAGCCGTAAAGTCGAGTAATTCTTGTCCATCGTCTCCTCCTTCTTCGAGCAATTGCACAATACCGACCATCCCTTTGCTACCACTACCACCACGACTACTATCGCCCCCCGTCATGAGTTGTTGATCTACTCCTTGTACTGTTTTGAGCAAATGCTTGGCCGCCGATTTGCAGGTATCGTCTTGCATAAAAATGGCTCCCACCGTACTGGTGAGTGCCCGGGCAAAGGGCGATTCACTGGGCAAGAGATAGGAAAACAGTGCCAATATACTTTTGGTTTCTCCTCGTAGCGGCGTCGTGAGCGCCATGGTGGACAATCGAAAGACAACCATGGTATGAAGTTGTACCAGTGAATCATCCATTTCTACAATGAGTCCATTGAGTTGTTCCAACAGTGGTTCTAGAGACAATCGATACAATCCCGGTTGTGCCATTCCATTTTGCAATGCCAAAATGGGGAGTAGATTGTTCATGATCAACTGAATCCATTCGGCCAAGAGTCGTTCCGATGATACTTGCACGGAATGAGTGTCTTGTTGATTTTGCTCATGGTCCGATGTCGTGGCATGCACCACAAAGGCAATCATATCGCCCAATTCCATCAACCATCCTTGTGCCAATTCCTTCCATGCCGGTCGATCGTGATGATATTGTGCCGCCGCCAATGGCAACGCGAGTAAAAACAAATTCAAGGCTTCTGTCATCCAAAATAAAAAATGCCAAAAATGTCCAAATTTGTCCGATGCATAAATGACTTCCCAACACTGTCGCCAAATTTCCTGTAAGAGTTGTGTCTTTTCGGCATGCGGTGTGGCCCACATGGTCAAGACACATGCCGCCAGCAATGACGATAATTGGGGTGGAATGAGTTGTAAATTCTTATCGACAGCGCGAGCAAATTCTCTCACGAGAATGGTCCGGGCCGCCGACGATTGGAGGCGTCGATACGTGGTGGTCAAGATTTGATGGCTGTTGGATGTGCGTCGGCGATTTTGATTGTAATGTTGGTGTTGATTGTGTTGTTGAGATAATTGAGCCTGTTGTGCCGACGACAGAGCATAGGCTCTCAAAGCCGCCGCCAGTGTTTCGTGGAGACCACTGCCGCATTCTTCCCCGTAATGCGTATTGTTGTTGTTATTGTTACTACTAGAAGTACCATTCGGCAGTTCGTCCATGATTTGTTGTTCGCATTGTAGAATAAAGTTGGGCAACCAGGCTTCCCATTCGTAGTGCAACGTGGGTTGTTGTTGAGTGGGAATGGGCGGTGGAGGAGAGTTGTATTGTTGTGTCTGTGGACTGACCAATTGATCAAAAAAAGCGTGTGGAATCGATGGATGAATGCCTCGTTGTGCCAAACTGGCGAGAATCTTGTGCCGTGTGGGTTCCAGTAGTTGTTCCTTATTATGATCATTCTCAACAACTGTAGCAGAATAATATGTCTGTATGAAAGCATGCGCCAGTTCCTTGCCCAACGATGCGGCCGCTTGATCCGGAGGTCGTGGTGGGATGATAAAGGATTGCTGCTCGGAAGGTTTTTGAGCGGCGAATTGTCGTTGGAGGCGCGTGAGTAATTTTCCAATGCGATCTTCCATTTCTCGTCGTCGCAGTTGATTCAACTGTTGCGTCGAATTGCTTTTTTTGGAAGTGGAAATGGTCTGAGGCAATGACGCCGCTGTTGTATTCGCGTCGGCTGGCCATGGCGGTTGTGGCTGTTGTGGCTGTGGTGGCGTACTACGACTGTGAGGCTGCTTTTGGGACTGACTCTTCTGGGATTCTGGCGGTTGCTGCTGTTGCTGAGAAGATCTCTTGCTGCTGTCTCCACTTCCTCGATTGGATCCTTTCGTGCTCGTGCTATTGATTGGACGAGATGGACCTGTAGGGGAAGGAAGACTCGTGCGTTCGCCTGGAGGATCTGCCATCGTCTGTCTCTCCCTCTCTTCGAGCGAATGGAATGGATCTTCAGTGGAGTACTGGTACTATGGTAGTGCACTCGATGAAACAATCGTCGTTGGCCAATGATGGATCAGACTTCTCTCTTCTACTTCAATTTAGAGGATCTAGCTAGAATCGAATCCAACTGAGCCTGCAACTTTGCTATATCTCGTAGAGCCTCTGTCTACCGGTATAGCTAGCTAGAACACAATGGAGTAAGAGGTCAACCTTGCTTGCCTCTCCAATGCAAATGATCCGCTAAAAGCAAGTAAGTGCTGTTGGTCGCTTCCCGCTTTTTTTCTCCTCCCCCTCTCAAGAGGATCCATCCTCCAAAGATCCGTCTGTCTGTCACCCCCTCCCTGAGTTTGTCCCAAGTTTGTCCCCCCTCATTCCAACCTTCTGGATAACTACGGTAACATGTTCACCTACCTGGTACGGTACCCGATACCCCCCTTGTTCGTACGAATGGAAGGGGGCCTTCCCAACCAATGCTACTTGTTAAAATTAGCGACAAATATGATACAATCCACGCTGTGCGGAGTCAGTCAGTAGCAAGCATTGAGCCGAGCTCCAATGACGCGACATTAACACAATCTGTCATGTCAACTATGCATAACTGTCTTCCCTGGTAACCTTACCGGTACCTGCCATGATGCTGAAACCATGCTAGCTGTGGTGGAGAAAAGCGTCAACTGCCAGGAAGTGTATCGGATATCGGATCGACTACGGGATGACGAGACATTCATCCGGAATGCAATTTACATTGCTGGAAATAAGGCCCTTGACTTGGCATCGGAAAGGCTGTAAGCCGACCCAGAGATTCAAAAAGCCAGCAATCGTTATCCTGGTGGTCAAGCACCATTTCGAAGAGTCAACCAATGGCGTCGCCAAGGAAACGCTTGTCTACACTACAATCTTCAAAGAGGTTTGTGTGCACTCGGAAACAAAGCGCAGGTTTTGAGGGCACTCGATGAATCGACTGCATCCGACGTCACGGGTCTGATTCTGAAGCAGATGCCCGAAGATCTCAAATCGGATCGAGATGTGTTTTTAGCTGCTGCAGAAACTGGTGTTGGTGTCTTGCAACATGCATCAGAGGGGCTGCGCGATGACGAGTCATTGGTATTGAAAACTATCCTCTATGATGCACTCAATGCATTCAAGAACACTCCCCCAAGGCTTAGAACAGACAAGTCGTTTGTCATCAAAGCGATGCAGATATCTCCCAAGCACATGTACCTCATCCATTCTGACCTGTTGACGGACACAGAGTTCTTGAATGAACTTGCTGAACAGGTGCGCTTTCACTCACAATTGAAAAGGTTGGGACGAGACATGGTCATAGGTCCGAGGCCGCCCCCAGGACCAAGCAGGGATGAGTGGCTTGAAGCGCTGGATCGAGCCAACACTTTGTACAATGATGCGCTTTCCGTCAGCGCATTGTTTTACTTCCTTTCCCATTGCCCCGCGATTATCTATTCCTATGAAGCTTAGCAAAGTTCACTATGTATTCTAGCGAATGATCCGTTCTCTAGCTATCACTGGCTCTACTAGAAACCCTCTATCTAGCCGTCCCCACCAGTCCCCACCACAAGCAACGTGCAACGGAAGAGCCGGCAAGTTCGTGCAACTTTGGCAGCGGCTTCCCTTCTCCTTCCCTATTACCCCTCGAACACTTTCAATCCTGGATGACGAGGTGTCTGTGCGGTAAAATTATTAACGGAGCCAGAAAAAGCATTAAGAAGGGGTTTGTACATAACAGATGACACTGGGTCTGTGCCGCAAGCACTTTCTCCACTTTATTAACGGAGCCTGGAAAAGCATTATGAACCTGAACCTGTTGAGTGACTCCTCGGAGAACACCACATCAACATGCAGGAATGAGCCTTCACAAGTGTTTTCTGTTCCGGTCCGCGGGATACCAAACAGTCATTGGAAGCGGCCAGAATGCATTCAGTATAACTTACCCAGATGCATTACCAACACCAACCTGCAGGAATGAGCCTTCAGAATTGTTTTCTGTTCCCGTCCCCGGGTACCAAACAGTCATTGGAAGCGGCCAGAATGCATTGAGTATAACTTACCCAGATGGATCGAGAGCCGCCACAATTTTAAAGCGAAAACAAAGCAACAACAACAACCGTCAAAATGGACACTGGTGCTATGGACGCCTCCTTCCACCACCTCTATGGATCTCTTGTCTTTGAGGAGTCGGAAAACGATGGCCCCCTATACCAACCTGCACTCACAAGACAGAATTCCTTCATCCAACACGCAACAATTGTCCATGCTGCTTTCCACAATGCCACCAAGCATCCCAACAAAGTGCTCCTTCAATGGGTAAATATCAGCTGCAAAGTAGTAGAGTCTATCACCTATCAGAAACTTTGGGACAGGGCTAGAGCAGTGGCTGCAATGCTACACCAAAAAGGCGTCCAGAGAGGTGATCGTGTGATGATTTCTTATCCTCCCGGTCTGGAGTTCATGGTTGGGCTCATTGGATGCATGATAGCTGGTGCCATTGCATGCAGTGTTTATCCTCCCAATCTGGTGGAGCCATCCAAGACCAAGTACTCGCTTCAGCAATTCAGAAACCAAGTCAATGATGCGGGAGCGAAGTTTGCCTTGACCACACGGGAATTCAGGATGCTGGTCAAACTCAGAGCACTTGGACGAACCCGTGTAACCTGGCTAGTGACAGAAAATCTAGTCATCCCAGAGGACCATCACCTACAACTTCCAAACCCAGGAGATGTTGCACTTATCCAGTATAGCAGTGGAAGCACAGGAGAGCCCAAGGGGGTCATGCTTTCTCACCAGGCCATTATTCACAATGTTTGTGCTATTTCTAGGATATCTGCTGATATGACTGATGCAAATCTTCATGGGGTGAACTGGATGCCGCAATACCATGACTATGGACTTTTCAATTTCTTCTTCCCTGCTGTGCTCGGCCGTTTTTGGACTGCAACATGTGGTATGCTCTTCATGCTTATATCTGAGGATTGATTTGATTCTTCATTGTGATTTATATCTCACTAAAATGTCTCCCCATCCTCACCCATAGCATCACCCATTGACTTTATCAGAAACCCTCTGTTGTGGGCTGACATGATAGAAAACTTCAAAGCTACACACACAGCTGGTCCAAACTTTGCCTATGGCCTCCTTGCCAAGCGAATGAAACAAGCTAATCGGATGCTCAGTAAGGAGGCCCAAAGGAGGTTGGTTCGTGCCAACATTGCTGCAGAGCCCATTTCACCAAAGACAATTGAGGACATGGAAGGAATCATTGGCTTTTCTCGCAGTGCTATCAATCCTAGCTATGGTTTGGCTGAGTCTTGTGTGTATGTAACCTCATGTGTTGGCCCTGAGGTACGGATTCTTGATGGGGCTGTATCCTGTGGCATGCTGGAACGAACCAAGCACTACAACAAGGGCCTAGTGATTGTTGATGATCCCACCAAAGGCACAATTGCCCCAGATGGGCAGGTCGGAGAGATATTCATCCGAGGGCCTGATCTAGCTCTTGGATATTGGAACAAGCCAGAGCTGGATCACCTGTTTCACAAGCGGCTTGATGATGGAATGGATTACATGGGCACAGGTGATCTGGGCAAGGTGGTTGATGGACGGCTTTACGTTGTGGGCAGGGTGAAGGAACTGATCATCCAGAATGGCCGCAATATCTACCCAACTGACATTGAAAGGACCATTGAAGAGAATTATGCCAATGTTGTCCGTCCAGGGTCAACTGTGGCATTTCAATGGTCCGATAACAGTATTTGTCTTGTTGCTGAGATCCGAGAGGAATCTGCCAGTGGTCTGGATGAAATGAGTGACCATGCCATGAAGGTCTTACTACGTGTTGTGCATGGTGTGGAACTAGGAGCCATCTACTTGCTGAGAAAGGGATCTGTCCCCAAAACCACTTCTGGGAAGGTCAAGAGAGTCCAAACCAAACAAGATGCCTTTGGTGGAATCTGGGACAAAAAGTCAAGAAATGTGATCAGAAAATGGAAATTGGAAGGACCAGTCCTTGCAGCTGAAACCACTGCAGCAGTCAGTCATTCCATTGTCCCCCAAAACCTTCCATCTGACAAGCTTCCCACCTCTGCCTATAATGTGGTGTCATTGATCCAGTTTAATCCAGAGACACTTGATGGGCTGTTCAGAGAGTTGTATCTGCATGAAGTTGAGGAGTTGGAGGAGGCCTGGGGAAATGCTGACAAGTCATTGCAAGCATTCCAGTCAATGTGCATTGATTCCATTAGAGCCATTGAAGCAAACTTGCCATCATTAGTCCAATTCTTTCACTGGCTTGAAGAGCAGCCTGAGAAGATTGTCCATGGCAATCCTTTGGATTTGCTGTCGGACATTGCACATGCAGCATTTGTGATGCAATGGGCTACTACCCTGCTTGCCAGTGATATTGAACTTCTTCAGAAGAAAGTTTTGAAGGACAAAGAGATTGAACAAAGATTCACAGAATGCCTACAAAAGTCACCAGTGCCCAATGAGGCTCTGTTTCTCACGAAGGGTGACAGATTTGATCCACTCTTTGGAGCACTGGATTGCTTTGGCTGGATGAAGCATCGTTCTGTTCAATGCATGATGGATCAAATGGTCAGTGTCATGTTTGGCTCAACTGATACCACCGATATTGACTTTGCTGATGGCGTCGACTATGCGACAATGAATATCCTAGAGGCTGTTTGGATTGATCGCATCTTTCGTCGGCTTGACAATGCTTTTGTTGGTTCATGGTTGACACAAAGATCAAGACCAGTGTCCACAGAAGTTGTTGGCAGTGACTTCTATCAAGACTTTGACCATGACGAATTTGCTCATGTGTACAAGGTTTGGAACCTTGCTTTCTCTTTTTCTCTACCGGATACAAAGTGGGTCGTAGCCAAGCTACTGATGCCGTGTGTTGCTCAAGTTCACAACAAGTCGTTCACCCAATATCGAATGATATCTTTACACATGGCAAGTCATCACTGGGTACGAGCACACTTGAGTGGAACTGAAACTACCTGCAAAATATCAAGAGAGGGCCAGCTTGCTTTGGGCATGTTGAACCGACAATGGTTACAAAGTCTTTGTCCCGATACCACAGCCAGAACAGATCTTGTTGAGAGTGAGCCCTCTGAGCTTGTTCTCCATTGGTCCGCCAGATTCCAGAAGATCGATTCTGCCCGTCGTAATCTGATGGCGACAAGGTTCCTTCAGGACTCAGCCCCAATGAAAGAAGATACGGATCCGGTAGAGCATCTTTTTATGTGCCTAATGGGAAACTCAATTGATATGGCAAGCACATGGGAAGAAAATGGTCTGACTTCTCTAATGCATGCTGAGTTGACCAACACAGTCGCAGAGGAATTCTCCCTAACTCTTCCTCCCACGTTCCCAATGGTGTTCAGGACTCCAGCAGAGCTCAAGGTTTACATTCACAGCCAAGCGAAGTCATGTCCTGCATGAGCTCACTTCCAACCCTCGAGGACACGGCTATATATGCATATGTAGAGGATAAACTGATTAAAAATCTGTTTGGCAGCAAAGCCTTGGTCTGTGAGCTTCTCAAATGGTTCAGTGAGACATTTTGTTCCACAGATTGGTTACAACATCCGTGGTTTAGGTTCGTCACTGTGTTGGCCAGGCAAGGTGTTTCAACGGGACTACACTGTAGATCCTTACTCTTTTAGTTTCACGGAAATATGTCCCGTTTCATGATTTTGCAGCTGAGACTGGCCAACACAAACTGACACCACACATGTAGATTCTTCTACATAGCTATTTGGATTATTCTAGCTAGCTAGAGTTGCCATCTGGTCCTCATTCGAACGTTTGATCAACCCCACCCAGGCCCACCAGGAATGAGCAAGAGACTTGAACACTGAAAGGACTATCGATCCACCACCGAAACTTTGAGAATCACATGAAACATGCACGTATGTGTACACAGCAATAAGCACTTATTCCATCCATGATTACAATTTGTTTGCTCGTCCGCTTAGTTTCCGGTCAACATGATTCCAACCAAAGCGGCCACGGTAAAGAGGACGCTGGCACTCTGGGCGCCCGACATGAAGACTTTGGCGGGCTCTAGATCTTCGGTCATGGCAGGCTCCTTCTCAGCGGATGCAGTCTCTCCACTCTTTGCTTCGGCAGCAGAGACCGCCTCTTCTGGGTCAGCGACATCGGTTCCATTAGCCATACCATCAGGCTTTGGACATTTGACATTCTCGTAGTCACACGTCAAACCAGAGAACAAGTCTCCAAGCCCATCCAATCCACCCGTTGGAGCGATCGTCTCGTTCAAGGCTTCACTAGTGAAATCATTCAGGGCTCCTAAGAGTCCGTCCACGACATCTCCAACACCCCCCAAGATATCTGACACTTGGTTCTCCAACACACCAATGGTCTCATTGGTCAAGCACGCAAGAGCGGCCGTATACACTTCAACACAGACGGGGCAGCACTGCTCAGCAAGGCAAACTTCTTCCTTGGATGTTTCGCAACTCTTACCCCATGAAGCCATGACTGCATCCTTGATAGCTGTCGTGTTGCTGGGATCAAAGTTACTAAAGACATCATCGCCGTCGTCATCATAACCATCGTCATCGTCGCCAATAATGCCCTCGCAAGCCTCATCGCATGAGTTGTTGACAACGCACGCGTCCAGCGCAATCGTCTCGGCCTCACAAGGAAATTCCCAGGTCGAGTTCCAGAAATCATCATCGCCACTGGGAGCGGTATAGTTGAGACTATCCAAAAGACCATCGAGACCGTCATCGGTACCGTTGAGGCCATCCAAAAGATCATCGCCCATGTCGTCGGCGGCAACGCCGCAAACAACGGCAAGGGTAAGGAACAAGACTTCTTGGAACTTCATGTTTGTTGGGATCTCTAGCTAGTAGGACGGTACCGGTACGGCGTGATGTTGCTTCAGAGGGTGCAGCAAAGAATGAAAGGCTTTGTGCAATTGAGGTAATCCAGACTATCCTGCTTCCGCGTACAAGATACTCTCACGCCATTCTGAAATTTCAAAGGACGATCGATGACCCTCGAGGCAGAATTCAATCAAGAAGTCTGTCAAGGAATTTGTGGCCATCTATGTGCCAATTGCACAAAAATGGCACCGACTGGCTCTTGAGATTTAGCAAACTTTCATAAGTGACTAGGTAATTAGGCAAATTTAACGGAAACTGGTCACACACATGAGCCAAATTTGGCCCAAGAAGATCCAAAAGCAATAAACGGCAGAGTTGGTTAGCTGTTGGTTCACGGAACGAATATGATATCTTTGTCGAAGAGGTGCGAACGGTCTCAATACAGATCTACAGTAACTGGCTGACTTCAGGCATAGATAGAAACAGAAAAAGTCGGTTGTCAGCAGTTGCCAACGGCACTAGCCAGCTAGGGCGTTCGCTGTTGCAGTGCTTAACTGAAATAATTGGCAAAGCTGGCCCTGCAATAGTAAGTTGCGTGCGCTCAGCCAGCCATTCAGCCATTCTGTTGGTGACAATGCAGGCAGAGGATGCCTCCTTGCACAAGTTGCCAGGTTGTTGCTTGCCCTCTGTTCTAACTTTAAAGCCTACTATTATGGAAAATTGGTTGGGCCAGTCAGTTCCCTTGCAGCTGAAGCATGCTTTTAGCCTCGTGCTGTTGCTTTGCTTGCTGGCATTGCTTTGAGGCAGTCACCACCACAAGAAGGATGGTATGTGATCGCTGATCGGTGATCTGTGTTCTTAGCTACCAAGTACCGTAGGTGGTCAGATATACTGGGGCCAAAGTCCCGGTGACTGGGAATTAGCGCTTGATGTTGCAAGTAAGTGATTAACGAGTAGAAAGATCGCATAGCTAATCATGCATAGATAATTGAAGGTGGTCATGTCGGCGAAAGCAATCTTTTAGCTACCGGTACTGATGAGCGAGGGCAAGCCACGTGCAAGAAAGGGGATGTAAGTAGCTAGTAGTAGATGATGATGGCCATGGCTTTGTCCATGATTGCTTCGTGGCAAGCATGCTGATTCTTCATATGACCACCGAAGCTGCCGCCGGTACCGGTCTATTGTCGCGTGTATGGCTGGTGGTGGTTCATAGCTGCATGCAGTAGTCTAGATACCGCTGACAAGAGTCGAGTCGAGTCGGATCCAGAGATCCCATGCTGGTCGAGTTCCTTGGATACTTCTTGCCCAATCTTGGCAACGGCACCTGTCCACGAAATTGCCAAAGCCACCTCTCCGCTTTCTCCGATGTTGTTGAGCGCGTGGTTGGGTGTTGGGTGGCACCACTGCAGTCAAATTAAAATTGAAATAGTAGTACCAAGTTTGTGATAGAGACCGGTTAGACACTGGTTTCGAGGGCATATCGATGGTTATTCCACGGCAAGCGACGAATGTGAAGATGCCTTCCTCATCTGGCAATTGGCTGAAGCAACAGCAACTACATGTATACATACAGTCAGTACTGGCGCTCCTACAGTGGAGCAGCAAATGGAGCGAAAATGCAGCTGAGATCATTAAATTTTTTCAAGAATTAGCGCCTGATTGAAGCAACAAGCGAGTTCTCAGAAGGTTGATGCCACCAGCAACTAACTATCAACACCTTCACAGCTTCACGCCGCTTTGTTTGCCGTCTTCACTCCTTTAGCTCGTCGCTACTCGAGGACATGTACTCTACTAAGCTAGCTAGAGTACTCGATAACTTCCATCTGAGCTAGACTACATGTACGAAAAGTCTACTAGTCTAGCTAGCTTCTATTCGATTCAGGACCACGCGACCATCATGATCCAAGACCATTGGGAAGAGCCTTGGGAAGTAGGGTTGTAAGGTCCCTTCTCGGAATGCTCAGAAAGTTTCGATTCTTGTTCGGGGTGATGCAGAATTTGGGAAGACAGTAGTCATTGGTGATGTCAATGATTTAACATGTTGTTCCATTTGATCGTCTTCTACTTTCGACCGAGTCATTAAAAACTGACGTGGGGAGAAAAGCAACTTGGACATTGCTTGATCGTTGGACGGTGGTCACTGGTACCTCAGTTTTGTACCAAAGAATGGTTGTACATTGGCCACTTTGAAGCCAGGCCACAGAGAACAGAGTTACAATGCAGTCATTGTGAGCTTTCGTTACCGTTGCACCAAAGAGCCGCACAACAACCATCACTACTGTACCGAAGCTAGCTCATCACTTCGCTTCAGAATTTTAATTCACTCCGAAAGAGCTCACAATTTTAATCTGCAAAAAACAAATAGCACAAAGCAACACAGCCTTCAAGCACTTTGCTTTAAACCAACTAACCAACATGTTCCGATCTAGCAAGAAGCAATCTCGCACTGAGAGCACCAAGCCTGCCTTGTTCAACCTTTTGAATGATCCCACAAGAGCTCCACCCAGCCGGTCTCACAGCGCTGGAAGCGAAGGAGGCGGCGCATTGGAGAGAATCTTGCGGGGTGAAAGTAACTATGATCCCAACCACACACCCGTTATCAAGTCAGGAGCCACAGAGGACCTCGAGGCATTGACCAAAGCCTTTCATCAGGCTCAGTTGCTGGATGCCCTGGTCAATGGCGGAGAAGTTGGCGCTCACGGCAAGCGACGCAAGCACCGCAAAACTCCACGTCGCACCAAGTCGGATGATGGATCTAGCAGTGTTGTCAGCCGAATGAGCACCGGCAGTCGCAAGTCCACCTCCAGCCGCCGCAGCGGTGCTTCGGCTGCATAGGCAACTTCCTTCCGTGGTCTTCTCCCTTCTCCTCCACCTTTGTCAGACTATCCACACAACTTTGCGATTGTACATATGTGCATAGGTACCAGCCCCAAAACAGTCAAGTCTTACAGCCTCCACTCTTGCATGATCACACATAAACGTCAATGATAGAATCTATTGCAAACAAATAAGTTAACTTCACAGTTGAACTATTCTCCTTATAGTACATGTATCTATTGCTACGAAACAGTGAAGTGAAGTGTTACACAGCAACTTCCCAGATCCCAGACAGCCCGTTCGATGGCATAGGTAGCTTACCCGAATTAGCACCTTTCAAGTGCCATGCGGCAATGAGATTGCAGAAACCGCGATAACCAACGGACAGCAAAGACCTGCAATGTCCAGTCGGCTCTAGCTTGCTAGCTAGCTAGTGCTGAGTTGGACGGTAGGGTAGATACTGGTGAGTAGTGTGCAAGGAGGCAATATACGGTACATTCGGTCTGATCGGTGACTTTGAAAACGTAAGGACGACTTCCACGTGAGGAATGCGCCTCCCGCCCGCGCCGTGGAAACCTTGCCGTGGAAATCCGTCGTGGATCCACGGTCCACGGAAATTGAGAGGCGAGACAAGCTTCAGACACAAGTTCATGCTTCGTGGTCGTTGCCGTAGTAATTATTCTGGTGGCAGAGACACATTGACTCTGAATGGAGCAAATGATGAGATTGGTACAGCCTGTGCCACTGCAGGGTGAGGAAGCTATGACGCCGGCTGTGCAACAAGAATGAGTGTTACTACGTACCACCATCATCACAGCAGCTGATTGATTTCTTCTGCAGCCAGATTGAATCATTCTGTTTCCGAAATTGAATCTTCATTCTTCATTCATCTTCCGATTGGTAATTCTGTGGCAGATGCAAATTTTCTCTGGGTGGAGCTCATGAGATCGCTTTCAGCTTAAGCCTGTGCCGCCCGTTGTATGAAAATGGTCCCCCGTACAACATCAAGGAGTGTCACGCATCAGCTAGTACACCAGATGATTTGCATTCTTCTGCGGTTTGAAATAATGATTCCGGATGTTTACAAGCTTCAGGTCTCAGTCTAAAGTGACCATTCTTGATTGACCTCCTTGGAAAGCAACAAACCAGCTTACGACCTGAAGGAACGACAGAGAAGCTGCCGCCACGCAAGTTTTGCAGTGCTTTGGCACCTTCTGCTTTCTACGTGGCAAGTGGGGATGCGAATTGAATGAACGCACTATCTACAGCAGCCTTCGACACAGTACCATGAGGTACTCAGTAGTTGTTGTTCCGTCCAACATATTCAAACAACTTTTCCTACGTGCACTCCTCAAGTATCTACGGTAGTAACAACTGCAATAACTGTGCCCGTACCAGTTTCAACGTTTCAACGTTTCAACAGACCTTTTCTTTCTGCAGTGCCGCCAAAAGCCCTCCGATTTCTGAACCTTTTCAGGGGTTGTAGTTGTGATTGTTAAATCCTTGATAAACAGTGACGATGTGAGGCGGCACTACCATACGTATTACGCAAGTCCCCGTTTCTACTGTGGAATGTTATAGTACGGTTTGGCTGTAATCTGGCTGATTCCGGTCAGTTTTGCCAACTCAGAGGATCCTCGCTGCTGTCAAAGTTCGCACTACCTACAGCATCTTGATCTTCATGATCACATCTTCAGGCGAGCCTACAAGCGCTAGTATACTCTTGATCGAATGTCAACAGGTTGCCAGCGTCACTTCCGCTCACAAATTGGCTGACCTAACTGCAAAAGCAAAAAAGCAAAGAAATCCAACCGACTATCCGACTATGCCATCGACCCATTCAGCTCTTTCCTCCTCAGCGTTGGTCTTGCTTCGTAACCTGAGTGTATATCCCAAATCGTCCCTCAATGCGCATGCACCAGCTTCACAGACAGGTGCAGCGGAACTGAAGAAGAAAGCCAAGCTTTCTACAAACTCAGATCTGGCTAAGTTGTTGTCGGTAGACAACCAGTGGGATCCCAGGCACACACCTCTTGTCAAGTCTTTGGATGAACTGGCCATCATGAATGAGACGTTGAGACATGTGCAAGAGCTAGACGCCTTGGTGAACGCTGTGAATAGCAAGAGAAACGATGGATATGCCCCCCACAATCATTCCAGGAAGTCTCGCAGCGCTGCTCCCCGACATCCCCGAGACAAGAAAACCAAACAGAAGATCAGATCTGTGGCGGCATAATCTCTGCTGAGATTGCTTCCTCCCTGAAAGTGCTGCATCATGACTCTCCACTTGCCAATGTGATCATCAAACATAAAGGATATAATGAACGTATAGAAGTATATTGCATAATGATCCTGCTTCACGTAGCCAGGCTTTTGCGTGGAGCGGTGCCCCCGCGGGTTGAGCGCCAAGCTTCCAGACGAGATGCACAATAGCACTGCAATAGTAGGCCTCGAAGGAAAGAAGCAGAGCTACGCGGCTGCAAATGGAGATGGAGCTCATCTCCCCTTGTTTAAAAGGACGCATGAAAGTGGCACTTACTGACACCAAAGCACAGCTACTAGCCAGCTGACTACTCGTAGTACCCGTGCTGGAGAAATTGAAAGGAGAGACGAATCGTCCAACAGACGACATCCTACAGTGTCGCCTTGTTCCTCAGTAGCCACTAGCTAGCTTGGCTCCAGGACAAGTCAAAGCGCATAGTCCTTGTACTAGTAGACAGTATCCAGAAGCTTGGCTATATCCACCAGAAGCTTGGCTTCAATGAGAGGACTCCAGAATTCTTGAATTCTTGTAATAGTACTTCTTGAGCAGCCGCATTGGTCTTCACTGGAGACTGGAGCGACGCGTCATCGCTGTTTCGGTGGTAAACTTTCTTCGCATCGCTGCTTCAGTAGAAGGCAAGGCTCCTCAAGTTTGTGGCTGGTTCCGTAGATTATCAACCTGCCCCCGATAAGTTTGTGAGCCAAGTGTTGAACTGACGTGGTTTTTAATCACAGGTACCGGTAGGGGTTATTGGGAATCGGGAGGCAAGCTGGCTAGAGAGGCGGCGTCCGGTATCGTTGGTAGGCATTTCGGTGTTTCGTCGCTCTAAAGGCAGGCTGGCAGGCGGCCTGCCAGAATCCATCTACAGCGAGATCTTTCGACAGCGATTTAAAATGGATTGCGGCCATGACTTGAAAGCCCTCATGCTAATCCTCACAAATCGCAAGCAACCGGGGAAGAACAAACCAAAGACAGCAAAGCATGACGTCTATTACAGCATCGGCATCAGCGCTAATTCGTAAGCTGAGTGGATCTCCCACTACTTCTTCGTTTTCTTCGCAGACTCCTGGCAAAACTTCTGCGCCGGTACGAAGTGAGCAACAGGAGATGAACACCAAAGTGGACCTTGTCAAGTTGCTTTCCGTTGACGATAACGATGGCCCCAAGAAATCGCCCAAGAAGAACTCGAAAGCGTCAATCCGATCAGATCTGGCCAAGGTACTATCTGCGGACTTTGTATATGATCCATTGTACACTCCCATTATCAAGTCTCAGGATGAGCTTGCGATTATGCGAGAAACTATTCAGAACGCACAAGATGCACACACTTTGATAACTGCTGAGAACGAGAAACGAAAGAACAAGACAAATGGACACGGACGCAACAGATCGAAGAAAAGCGCCACCCAAAAGAAAACTTCCAGACGCAACGAATCGAAACAGGTCAGCTCCAAGGCCGCATAGTCAGTGCTTTTGCTGCTATGATTAGTTAACCTGAGAGTGGGCTCATGTGTTGTCCTTATTGCCGGGCCTGATGCCTGCGAATAAAAGAAAACTCAGAGATACAGTAAACAAAACGATAGATTGCATGTTTAGACAAGAGTTGAGCCCTTTAGTAACCTGCAGTTGCGCAAAGGATTCCAGAAGCCTCTTGCCAAAGTTGAAGGGGAATGGGGCAAAGGGGCAAATCAAATGAAACAAACGGGATGGATGCCTGCACCGGTGCCATAAACAGTTCGGCCGTACCATTTGGTACAACATACAAGAAAGCAACACTTCACTTCAAGAGTGGTCCACTTGGGCTCTCCGTCACTACAGTGGCGTCTCTAGTCTACATGTACTAGAAGTCTTCCCAACCCAATCTGGACTCGGACTACAGATTTCAGGGTGCAGAGTCCCCCAATGAGCAGCTGGGAGCTGTTTGAAAACAGAAGCTAGGAGAATCGAATCAAAGCAACAATTTCTGAAGTACGGTTGGTACAACTGTATACCGGTACCGTACCAGTTACATTTACATACATACTGGCAGCTATTGGCTACCTGGTGCCAGTGTCTATCGTTGTGAATGATGAATCGAATCGAATCTTCGTTTATCCGAAGTGTGATTGGCGGGCGCTCTGCATTATTATTGCTATTATTGAATCACCGATCACTGAGACGAGACGAGTGTTCAGGGTTTGTGGGACATCCCAGCCAACTCTCAGATCCCAGCTGTTCCAGGTACTGCTACAGACATGTATCATCAGTCGGCGTCTCTGACAACCTTGGAATTCATGCTCCGCCGGTGCGAAGGCAACAGGTCTACCGGTTCGGCGCAGTCCTTTTCAAGCATTCGATTGGATGGAGGCAGCCCTTAACGCCATCGCTGTGATTTCACGGTTCCTTCTGGACGCGGTCCTCTTCCCACAGGCTTCAAGACCTGCTCTGCCACGCTGCATTCGCAGTCGCCCTCCGGTGTTGGAAAGGGGAGGGCAAGTCAAGAAACCGGTCAAGACAGGATCTATTCCTAGTGGATTTTCAAGCTACATCTAGGTCTCTGCTTCTTTAATAATAGCATGATACCATCGAGCTCTTCGACAAGTTGACCGCTCGATTGGCTACTTCAAATATTGGCCTCCTTGGATGCACAAAATCCTTATGCAGCAGCCGCGCAATAACGACGACACGGCAGATATGTTTATAAACGCTTCAGATCTCATAACACATTTCTCCAACAATCATTGCAACCACGCATCAGGTTCCTGTGGCGCACCACTTTTTTCTGCAAAGCGTCCAGCTCTCGCTCGTGTTTCTTCATTTTGATATCCGCCACGATAAAGCTTTCCAGAAGACCACTTCGTATCAACACGTCCTGTTCGCTTGAGTCCATAATGGTCGTTGGAATGTACTGTTGAAAGACATCCCAAAGCTGTCGGCGGCAATCCGCATGAGCGGCCACGAGCTCCAAGACACGGCCAATCTCCTCTTCGCTTTGCCAACAACCGGTGGATGACGCTCGATTGAATAGAGCACGCACATGCTGAAAGCAGTGTGCTTTGGTTCGTGCAAGATTGTACCGTAGACTCGTTGACAACAATTCTACAACTTGGTGGTTCGACACGACAATGGTTCCACTCCCGAGACGAGATTCGAAGAGGACTTTGTCACTTTCGTCAAGTCCCTGTGGCATGCAAAGCTCATCGAACCAGGGCAGCAGCATGTCGACATTGTCATTGGAAACTACCACGTTCGAGAATGGGTCCATGATCGACATGATCAATTCCCACTCCTCCCGCTTCTTTTCGAGGAATTCGAATCTTCCAAATGCGGCTTCCTTCATGCCACTACGAAATGCAGCATCAAAGTAGTCGCTGACAAGACGCAAGGCAAAGCTGGACATTTGGAATTCTTCTTGTTCTTTGCCAACCACCACCACGACATCTGGCTCCCTCATACAGCGAGATCGATTTGGAATCCCTATGCTGTCCAGCACATGTTTTACGTCGCCCAGCACAGTGTTGTTGTCGTCGTCGCTTTCTGAATCGGAGCTCATGGTTTGGTTATACCTCAATACTGTATTGCCAAAACAAAATGGAATCCACCAGGCGCTTGACAGCACCAAGTAAAAGGTTGGGTAACAGAAGAATGGAGGCAACTACTAGTAGGTAGTGCCAATTGTCACTTTTTGAGGCAAGCAACGCCCGTCCGTTTGCCGAGTGCTTTCCGGTAAGTCATTGCATTCCAGTCTCGCAATGTGACTGGAGGAACTCGCCTTGGAGGTGCGCTCCACGGTGCTTTCCAACTAGCCACCTTGGAGGTGCGTGAGCACTGTTGGTCCGCTACGGTACATACCGGTAGCTTACGATTAGATTAGAGCGACTGATCGAGGTACCGGTCGACCTGTAACCATTTCCACAGGTCTTGCCAGGCATTGTCTACTTCTGCTTGTTGTTGTTGTTGCAGTTGTGGAATCCGCTGCATCTGGTCGGGAGATGCCCCATACGGATCAATGGATCTTGCTCGTTGATGCATTTTGTCCAATTGTGCATCCGTCATGGTGGGGGATCGACTCATAAAGTCAATGCCTTCGTAGAGTCGTACTCCTCCTACCTCGATGCATTGAAATTGTACCAATTCTTGATAATCCTTATCGACGTCAATAATGTAGTTGGGAAAGGTGACTCCAAATCCCGATTCTTGCGAGACTCCATTCTTGTTGTCAGAAGTAGTATCAATCTCTCCCTTCCAACTGTACCGAACACCCTGCAAGAGGGGTGATTTGTCCCATGCCAAGGGACTATTCTCGGGAGATGGTCCTTTGATGGTGAGTGTATTGATGTATCCGGTAACCATACTAGTTGTATCATCTGTGGTCAGTTGAATGTCGAGTGTGGTATCGTACATTTGATGAAACTGGGTCCAATCATGTACCTTGTGCCAATACCATCGTCCTTGATATTTTTGGTAGTCAAACTGTTGTGACGTGCGTAATGCCTGTACCAACTCTGGCGACGGACATCCCTGAACGACACGTCCTTGATAGGAATCATCGAGTTGGATGTTGTAGTCTCCAGTAGTAGTGCCATCCAATCCCGCTCCCATGTACGCCAGCACCCAGGCCACACACGTCGAACCTACGACGGTTCGTAGTTTGTCACTTTGCACCAGTGCGATTCCCACGACAAGCGCGCCCAACAAAAAGGACCACGGCACCAAGCCTAAAACGCGTGGTCCAGGCGATGCATGAAGGAGTTCGGAAATGTCAAAGGCGGCTTCCATCAAGGGATGACTAAGCGCTCCCAAGAACCAAAAGGAAAGGGCCGAGGAGAATTCCTCCAAAGAGGATTGTTGCAGCATTTTGGATACACTGGCCAGAAACTGACTCCAGCCTTGGAAGTGAAGGACAATGGCGCCCAAAGGAATCACCAGTGGGGTCCACAGAAAAGTGCTTTCTTGTTCTTCATTCGGTTGATGGCTCATCTTTCGGATAGTTCTAGGACTTCTATTACTTCTAGTAGCACTACTGCAACCACGCCTGGATCTGGTCGACACAGAGAATGGCAGCGTAGCTTGTGGCGCCAATAGAGAGGAAGGCAACCACGTCGCTGTCGGTACAGGATTCCTCATCACAAACGCTTGACAGCAGGGACACAACAACAGACAACATCTTAGCAGCAGCAATAATGATAACCGCATCGTGTCTCTATCTATTTCGCTGTTGTTTGTTGTTTCGGTGTGGACTTGGATCTTTGAAGCGCTATGGGAACATCAAAGCATGCAGTCATGCCGTAAGATCTCGAGGCACAGCAGTACAGCGGCAGCGCTTGTACTGGTAGTAATAATAATATTAAAATAAAGTAAGGTAATGGAACAGGGGGGGTTTAGACTTGGGAAGTTATAGGGGGGTTTAGACTTGGGAAGTTATAGGGGGTTTCCAAATGATGCTCTCCTTTCCTGCCTGGCTAGCTAGACTAGCTTTGCAATGCAGTTTAACCCTTTGCATACCTGGTGCCCGCTTGATTGATCTGTTCCTTTGATCTAGACATCTCCAGTCCACCAACGAGAGGGCACCATTTATTATCAAGATTAGCTAACCTGTATTTTCCAGAAGTGAGTGCCTTAGCTGCCTCGCCATAGTGTACCAGTGATGTAGCACTATGAAGTGGCACGTTGTCTTGGTTCACAACCCAAGCTATTACTCAGAATGTGCCAGCCATTCCTACTACTTTTTGCATGGCCACTCACAGTACCCATCATTAGGTTCCCCATTATTGTTGTGGTCCGCAGTGGGATCTTTGTTCTCCTCCTCGAGAGTCCGTGCGTCTAGTGCAAAAGTCCCCGTGATGGTTTCCATGGAGATACCTGTGGGTACTTCGATCGAGATTGGCGTTGTCGAGTCTTGCACATTGGGAGTCCCAGGATGCTTCAATGAAGAAATGACGAATGCAACTGGAAGGGCCACCGCTAGTAGCACACATAGAGCCAGAATGCCAGCAAGCTTGAAGGATTGTTGTCCCTTGGACGAGCTGCTCTTACTAGTAGTAGGCTCCAGTCCAATGCCATACGAAAACCTTGCGTACATTGTGCTCATCATGGTTCTTGTTTGTTTGGTCTCTTGCTGAAAACCAAAAAGCTTCTTGGAAATTATTGATTGTGAGAAATGATGCTGAGGGTTGATCCACACCTTGCGGGATCGACTCTGGGTGGCGCGACAGAAACAGCTCTGCTGTTCTTATGGTAAGGGTCTGTCGCCTTGGTCGGTGTCACCTCGATCTCGATGCCATGCAGTTGGTACGGTTGAGTTAGACTACAGTAGTTGTGGTAGCTGATTGATTGTTCTGTCCCTTGAATGGACCACAATTTATAGCAACAACCACAACAACAGAGCAGCGGCGACGATCGAATCGAATTGACTTCTTTGAAAAGCGGGGGCTACGGGAGTGAATTTTCAGATTTGGAAGAATGTGCGATCTTCCAAACATGATGAAGAAGTGTGCGTGCCGAAAGATGTCAGTCTCCTCCGAAGTCCAAAGAAGCTTCCCGTCGTTTGAGGAGACGTGTTCTGGATTTTGCGCTCGCTCGGGATCCCAGAAGCCAATTTGGGGGAATTGTGCAGATGAATCGTGCAAATGCCCCCTTTTCCTTTTTCATTTCCAAGATCCACTCACTCCAAAACGAAACATCCTCCACACAACCCTTGGGGCCATCCACAGATCATACTATTGATAGTGATTGATCGATTGAATACAGTACCATGGTGATGCTTCCTCTATTGACACGATCGGCCGTGCGAGCCGCAACTAGTACTACATTGGTGAGGTCTGTAACTCCTGCTGTCGCGACGGTCGGAGCCAAGCGCAGCTATCACGAGAATATTGTCGAGCACTACGAGAATCCACGAAATGTGGGATCGTTGGACAAGAATGCGGACGATGTTGGAACGGTGAGTTGACTTGACTTGCGTTACGTTAGTAACATTGGAATGAAATATGAGAGTGGATACTGTTGTAAAGAGCGTGTGGTGGAAGAAGAAGAAGAAGAAAGACTATTCTCTGACTCATTTTGCGTGCTTTCTTTCCTTTTTTACTCTCCTTTCTACACTGCTGTATTAGGGCCTCGTGGGAGCTCCTGCGTGTGGCGACGTGATGAAATTGCAGATTCGAGTAGACGACGATGGCAACATTATCGAGTCGAAATTCAAGACATTTGGCTGTGGTTCCGCCATTGCGTCGTCCAGTGTCGCCACGGAATGGATCAAGGGACAATCCGTCGAAGAAGTCGTCAAGATTCAAAATGCCGACATTGCCGCTCATCTCAAATTGCCACCTGTCAAACTGCATTGCTCCATGTTGGCCGAAGATGCCATCAAGGCGGCCGTACAAGATTGGAAAGAAAAACAGCAACACAAGAAACAACAGACAGAAGCAACAGCAGAAGCTGCCGTGTAAAAGAAGTGTACCAAATAGATGTGAATGGTTTGATTTTCTTTTTACAATTCGACACGAAGAATCCACAAACAGCACAAGTATTCATTTTACCACGATATCCACAACACATCATCACGAAGACCTCACTTTTATTATAGGTAAATTGATTTTTTTTAAATAAGACTATTAATAGCAAGGAGAATAAAAGAAGTCACACGATTTGCATTGTACCGTAGTACATTGGATCAATAGGGGATTCAGTTTTGGGTTTCGTTGGTTTCGTCTTTCTCGATAGCTGCTTCTTCCAACTTTCAACTCACTCACCTCCCATTCAAAGAAAGTATTGGTACGGAACCTTTATGGTCGGCGCGGTATCCTGGATCCATGCATTGGCCACATGCCTCCAATGCCTCCAATAACTCTTGTAGCATCAACAGTTCTCATTTCGACCATCTTCTCCCCCCACACAGACAGATCAGAGAACCGCAGCTTTCCTTTTTTACTTTTACTCATAAACCACTCGGATCCTGGTCGGTATGGTATTCTTGGTTATTGGTTTTTGGAAGTCCATGCATATATTAGTTCTTTGAATCCATGCATGCTCATCATACTGCAGTACAGAGTTGGCGACTATCTCCTCGCGGTTTGCTGATGTTGCCAATGTTGCTTGCCACAATATATAAGCCTTGGTATACAGGCATACACTCCACAGAGGATATCAACGGGGGTTTAGAGTAGGTAGATTATCTACCGTACGGAAGCCAGTCATGAAGGGCCAGACTTTTATAAAAGCAAAGAAGAGTGTCAGTCCAACTTCTGGACTAGCTAGGATCCATGGGATCTGCGAGAAAACCATTTCGGGGATTGGTTTGGAGTATCGTACCTACAAAGAACAGAACTACTTGGTTTAGTCATCACCAAAGGTGAACTCAACATGGATGCAACGGAAGCCCAAGGTCTGCTCGGCAAGCTTTTGTCTGTGCTCAAGGATCCCGAAGAGAAGTTGCCGGAAGAGTGTGGAATCTGTTTGGAGGTCTTTGCCGAGGACACAGCCGTTGTACTTCGTGGATGCAAGCATATCTTTTGTCATGGCTGTTTGGAGCAAGTTGAAACCACAACGTGCCCTCTGTGTCGAAAGCGTTTCAAGCAGTCAGATCGAATGAGCGTGGAGGACATCAAGGTGGCAATCAAGAAGACCAAGACCAAGACAAAGAAGAATCTTGTGAAAGCCCAAATTGATGATGCAGCGCCCAAGATCAAGGTGCTGCTCGCGCACATTGAGAACATGGCAGCCGATGAGAAAGGACTCATCTTCTCGCAGTTCACATCTTCGCTTGATCTGATTGAGGATGCACTTGAAGAAGCCGGTCACACTTTCACACGCATCGATGGGAGCGTGGATTCTGAGGGTCGATTGGAGGCCATGCGTGGACTGGAGTCTGAGGACGGTCCCCGATTCATGCTGGTGAGCTTGAAGGCTGGGGGCGAGGGAATCACCTTGACTCGTGCCTCTATATGCTACCTGATGGACCCATGGTGGAATGCAGCTGCGCAAGACCAAGCCATGGATCGCTGCCACCGCATTGGACAAACCCGTCCAGTCCGCGTTTATCAGCTCGTGATGGAAGACTCCATTGAACAGGCACGTCTCATTTTCATGCTCTCTTCTTGTCTTCGCTCTGCTTTTCATGACTGCATCCTCACACTCTTGCTGATTGTAAAAATTTTTGACTCCACAGCGCATGCTCTCTGTCCAGGAGGCCAAGACTGCCCTTGGAAACGGATCTGTCCGAAAGCTCAGGTAAGCCCCGCTTGTTGCTACTGGTGGGATCCCATTCGAATGGATGATCATAGCTCAGTCTTCTGCACTTGACTCGGACCACAGCAAGGAAGAAAGCAAAAAGGCCCGGCTTACAGCCCTTCGAGGTACGTGCAGTTGTGTCATCAGCAGTGAACCATCATTGGATGTTGTTTGTTGGCTGGATCTTTTGGTGTCTCAACCTGTTTTCTTGATGAATCCTGTACAGACTTGTTCCAGGTGAACATTGCAGAGCAAAACTGGCATGGTCACTTTGATGAAGATTTCGAACACGATGATGGCCGAGACTTGGATGACTTTATTGTTGGAGACGACGTTGAGGACTGAAGCTCAGAATGCTCTTGATCTCAGTGTAATCTAGGCAAAGGCGCCTTCAATCAATGGTGACTTTGTGTGACGGTGCTAGAGCCTTGAACCAAAGAATCTGATGTAACCAAAGTGGGACAACTTGAATATAGTAACGAACCATTGTTGTGAGAGATACTTGTCGTGACATTGCCATAGCCATAGCTGCAGAGTTTCTTGGGACGAATCACTCATTGTACAACATAGTTATCTTGTCTCGATTGGTCATCATCTCCTTGCAGATATCCTTTCATGTCTCATGTCTCCTGATCGAATGCATGCATGTATCTCGAGCATTGCCTCCAAGCCCTCTTCAGATGCCATCTTTCACAAAGAGTAGCATACCGGTTGGTACCAGTACTATAGCACTCTCAGTGAGATATCGATCGACACAATCCCCCCAGTCCCAGTTCGCAGAGCAGTGCGGCTGAACGCCTGATCCCAAGATTACAGTACTTTATGGTATCTCTCTCTCCAAAGCTGAGTGATCTTGCCGAATTCGCTTTGTTGGGAGAGAATGATGGCGACGGCGAGGTTAACAACATAAAAGGAGCCGAGCATTACATTTGCCTGAACCATGATCTTACTCGTGTCAAAGCCAAGAAGAGAATCATTCGTTCAATTTTGGATCGGGAAACCGATCTCCGTGCAGAAGGATTCTCTGCGAAGTACATTGAAGACGAACTTGCAGCGTTGTCTTTAACTCTGACGGACCTCACGAAGAACTTTGCCCGTTTTGTAGGTATCGCCGACGAGATTGCTGCAGCCTTGTCAGTGCGAGATGAAGGGCACGCTTCTTCCTCCAGTAGCTGCAGTGACCCTGAAATCTTGAGTGATGTGCTTTCGTCAGCCTCCTCGTCGGAAGGCAACAGCAGCATTGGCAGCAGTTCATCGTTTCACGATTGTGCCGAGATCATTCCTCACCCCAGCCTTATCAAGCCCAAAGCCATGCGCGTGACAGTTCCCAAACGAGTTGAGAAGAAGAGGAAGAAAGGCAAGAGCAAGGACAAGAAAATGAGTCAGCTCTGAGAAAGGATACGCACGGCAGAACCTCTCGAGATCGCTTGAACTAGAGCAACATCGATGTGTCTTGACTATGGCTAGCTTTTACGGTATCTTACCGGTACATATCTCACATCTCTTCCTGCGCACAATCTTAGATCATAATTCATATTTAAGCTACATCTGCAATCCAAGGCATGGAGAACACTGAAAGGATCATCGCAACCACCACAGAAAGCTGGAAGTGCTGCAGGGGGTAAGGCCGCAGACTTGAGAAAGATATAGACAATGACTTGTATGGGAATCTGCACCAGAGCTAGCTGTTCTCTCCAAGTAGACTAGTCTCAAGTTGATGAACAACAAACTGACAGGGCCCTTGCCATCAGAACTCTACACACTTGAACTTGAGTGGCAATTCTCTGCCGGGAGGGATAAGCTCTGAAATTGGAGGCTCCCGCATTCCAGCTATCAAGCTTTCCAAGCATTGGGATTGTGGGATGACTGTGGTGCCCTGATCTCTTCCGTTAGTCTTCCTCCCTTGCTCCTCCAAGGACCCAACCTTGCCTCCCCTCTCTCTTTGGTTTTGCTGCTGCTCTGCTCACTCGATCAATTGCTCGGCTCGCATTTGTGCATCGTGCTCTCTCCCTGCGCCCCCTCCTCACCATAGTTCCCTCTATAAGCCATAGTAACCACTCCTCGCGTGCTACAAGAAGTGTCGAAGATCGATCTTTTACAGCGACTATTGCGCGTCACGTCTTTTTTGGCAAGTAGGCAAAACGGCTAAAACCTGGCGCCTTCCAAATAGGACCGAGCGACATGTAGACGCCAAGAGCCTACTAGTAGGAGGTGCACCATCAATCAATCTACATACTCCATGGTACCCGTATATCACTTTCGCGCACCCTGGGGGCAACAAACACTGCCCTGCCAGATTACACATTGCCTTTATCAGCTGTGCTGGCACAGTTGGGTTGTATCCATTCCTTTGCCCCACTTGCAACCGACAGTACGAAAGAACATCAGCAGAATTACTAGCTAGCTAGAAGTACCAGGCTAGTCTTCATTACTTCATTACTTGGGCATTGCGGGGATACAGCTGCCAAAGCTTGCCTTCTAGGAGGACCAGTTGGGTTTGTTCGAGAAGCTGCAGTCGGGTCATCCCTACCAGTGGAAACTCACTCTGAGAGAGATACCATAAAGTACTGTAATCTTGGGATCAGGCGTTCAGCCGCACTGCTCTGCGAACTGGGACTGGGGGGATTGTGTCGATCGATATCTCACTGAGAGTGCTATAGTACTGGTACCACCGGTATGCTACTCTTTGTGAAAGATGGCATCTGAAGAGGGCTTGGAGGCAATGCTCGAGATACATGCATGCATTCGATCAGGAGACATGAGACATGAAAGGATATCTGCAAGGAGATGATGACCAATCGAGACAAGATAACTATGTTGTACAATGAGTGATTCGTCCCAAGAAACTCTGCAGCTATGGCTATGGCAATGTCACGACAAGTATCTCTCACAACAATGGTTCGTTACTATATTCAAGTTGTCCCACTTTGGTTACATCAGATTCTTTGGTTCAAGGCTCTAGCACCGTCACACAAAGTTACCATTGATTGAAGGCGCCTTTGCCTATCACACTGAGATCAAGAGCATTCTGAGCTTCAGTCCTCAACGTCGTCTCCAACAATAAAGTCATCCAAGTCTCGGCCATCATCGTGTTCGCCGTCTTCATCAAAGTGACCATGCCAGTTTTGCTCTGCAATGTTCACCTGGAACAAGTCTGTACAGGATTCATCAAGAAAACAGGTTGAGACACCAAAAGATCCAGCCAACAAACAACATCCAATGATGGTTCACTGCTGATGACACAACTGCACGTACCTCGAAGGGCTGTAAGCCGGGCCTTTTTGCTTTCTTCCTTGCTGTGGTCCGAGTCAAGTGCAGAAGACTGAGCTATGATCATCCATTCGAATGGGACCCCACCAGTAGCAACAAGCGGGGCTTACCTGAGCTTTCGGACAGATCCATTTCCAAGGGCAGTCTTGGCCTCCTGGACAGAGAGCATGCGCTGGGGAGTCAATAGAACAATCAGCAAGAGTGTGAGGATACAGTCATGAAAAGCAGAGCGAAGGCAAGAAGAGAGCATGAAAATGAGACGTGCTTGTTCAATGGAGTCTTCCATCACGAGCTGATAAACGCGGACTGGACGGGTTTGTCCAATGCGGTGGCAGCGATCCATGGCTTGGTCTTGCGCAGCTGCATTCCACCATGGGTCCATCAGGTAGCATATAGAGGCACGAGTCAAGGTGATTCCCTCGCCCCCAGCCTTCAAGCTCACCAGCATGAATCGGGGACCGTCCTCAGATTCCAGTCCACGCATGGCCTCCAATCGACCCTCAGAATCCACACTCCCGTCGATGCGTGTGAAAGTGTGACCGGCTTCTTCAAGTGCATCCTCAATCAGATCAAGCGAAGATGTGAACTGCGAGAAGATGAGTCCTTTCTCATCGGCTGCCATGTTATCAATGTGCGCGAGCAGCACCTTGATCTTGGGCGCTGCATCATCAATTTGGGCTTTCACAAGATTCTTCTTTGTCTTGGTCTTGGTCTTCTTGATTGCCGCCTTGATATCCTCCACGCTCATTCGATCTGACTGCTTGAAACGCTTTCGACATAGAGGGCACGTTGTGGTTTCAACTTGCTCCAAACAGCCATGACAAAAGATATGCTTGCATCCACGAAGAACAACGGCTGTGTCCTCGGCAAAAACCTCCAAACAGATTCCACACTCTTCCGGCAACTTCTCTTCGGGATCCTTGAGCACAGACAAAAGCTTGCCGAGCAGACCTTGGGCTTCCGTTGCATCCATGTTGAGTTCACCTTCGGTGCCCGCTTCTTCGATGAGCTCCATCGCTGCTCTGGCCTTTTCGATAGCATCTTCCGGAATCAGTTCTCCACTGCAGCAGGCCTGTCGCACGCGTAATACCAAGCTGAAGAACTGATAAAAGCAGGCGTACAGAGTCTTGCCACCGGCCGCAATCTGAAGCAAACAGAATGGTGAGATCGGTACAACAAGTCGAGCGAGAGGCAGCGGAATATGAAGGGGGAAGACTGACCATGTTCAGAAAGACATTTCTGCTGCAGGTGTAAAGGAGATCATGAATCTCCTTGTGCTCGTCATCTTCCCAGGCGACCGTGACAACCTCCACTGTCTTTTCCGGAAGGTTCAACCGGTCTGCCACTAGCTGTTTCGTTCGTCGCAGCGAGATCACCGACATCAGACTGCGAACTCTTGACAATCCAACCACCTTTCTATCCGCGATTGGCTGGGTGACAAACCGCTCGAACGCCTTGGCTGCAACTAAAGGGTTGGATGTAAGGTGACCTTCGTTGAGCCAACTGACCAGGCTGGGAAAGAGCGGCGGGAAGAGTGTGTGAGAATGAGTGAAACTTGAGGCACATGGACGGCACTCTAGCTGGGTTGGATTTACCTGTGAATATCGGATGGCTTGTTGACGAAGGGAGTGCCAGTGATGGCTGCAATTCATGAACGGGTTTGCAAATGAGTGAGTGAGTGGGCACGGGCACGCGAGAACAAGCTTTGGTAAAATGCCTATGTGCTGCTTACCGAGGCGACGGGTTGACGAAAGAGCCGAGCAGGCCTCAAAACTGACGGTTTTGCCATTACGAATACGGTGCGCCTCATCAAGCACCACGCGGTGAAACTGAATGTCGAAAACCCAAGTCGAGGGTCTCTTGGCCTTCTTAGACATCATCGCAACAGGAAGAAAGTCATCGTCGTCATCACTACTGTCCGAATCCATTTCCCAATCATCCTCGGAATCGTTTCCGCCGCCCCCTAAGAAGAGAACACGTACACGGAGAAGAATCTTGAGCCACAGCGAGCAAACGGTGTAGAGGAACACGACAACACACAAACATACAGTTCAAACTTACAAGCATCTTCCAGTTCGTTGCGGCGACCCTTCTTTTTGCCCTTCTTGCTCGCCATCATCTTCTTTTCGGCCTGGGCTTCCTCCTTTTCCTCCAACATTTCCTTGTAGTTTTTCCAGTCGCTTTGTATTTTCGTATGTCGTCACCAGCAAGTCTATGGTATTGCCGCGCTTGATGCGATTTAGTACTTTCTGCGAGATGCATGCAAGAAGAGGCACTTTGTAAGGGACATGCAAGCTACGATCTTGATGGCGTCGTGATAACCGTGCATGGCCACCTACCTGGCGGTCTTTACCAACATAGATTTCCATCTGCAAAGAGTCCTCTTCTACAAACTTGATGACTTGCATCTGCCATGCAGCAATCACAGACTTTGGGCAAACAATCAGAGTTGTACGAGGTTCGTCCTCCTCCGGCATGTTCGAAAGAATGAGACCCTGGTGCAACCATCAGGACGACGCGAATCGAGACACGTTGAGAAAAGGCCAAGACGAGCACGAAACGAGCAAAGACGAGAAACACCAATCGTCGGTACTCACCAACGTCTGCAGGCTCTTACCGAGCCCCACTGAAAAGAATAGGTAATGGCGAAGAATGTTAGGGATGTCTCAAAGTTTTGCTGTGGTTGTGCCGTCAAACTCACTGTCATCAGCGAGGATACTGCCTCGATCTGAAATGGGGTCTTCCTTTTGGAGCGACCGGGTGAGAGTGTTCATCCACCACTGGTTGACGTTGATGAATCCACGTGTGGTCTTCTTGAAAAAAGGTGAAACTCTGGTGGCCTCGTCACGTTCCTGCGCCACCAGCCACCGCACACCGTCTTTCTGGTAGTCGAACAGTTCTACGGAGTCCTTGAACCCCTTGGGTGGATCGTACTCGGGGAGGCTTTCGAACTTGTTGGTGGTGTGTTCGCTGTCGTGGGACCGCAGAGAAGAAGGGAGTTTTTAGTACACACTCAAAACAAACAGACGAAAGAGAATATGGCAACTCACTCGAAAAACTCATCCAATTCCCGCTGACTTCGTAGATCGGTGAACTTCTTCTTCTCTTCGGCAGCTTGGGCGGCCACCATTGCAGCTTCGTCGAGAACAGGCGGAACAGCTTCTCCATCCTCGGCCGTGCTGCTACCAGCAACAGCGGCGGCGACACCAACGGCAGGCTTGACGTCTACTACTTCTACATCGTCGTCAAGCGCCTCAGCTCCTTCCTCCGCCGTGCTGCTACCAGCAACAGCGGCGGCGACACCAACGGCAGGCTTGACGTCTACTACTTCTACATCGTCGTCTTCATCGTCGTCATCATCATCGTCGCTGTCCACTTTGGCCTTGGTCGCGGGAGCCTTGGTTGCTAGCTGTGAGATCACCACATCGTCATCGTCATCGCCGCTGTTCACTTCTTCATCATCGTCGCCTTCGGTGGGGTTCTTGGTTGATCGGTTCTTGGGCTCATCGTCCATGGAAGCGTCATCGTCACTCTCCGCTTCCTTCTTGGGCTCCACTTCTTCGTCGCTGCTGTCTTCGGCAAAGAACCCCTTGGACTTGGAAGCGGCAACAGAGTCGGTAGAAACAATGCGTGGCCCATCCGCCGAGAGAACAGGATCCACCAACAGCTCTCGACGAGGACGGCTGCTTGGAGGAGGGTCCACCACAGGAGCGGCAGTCTTGCGTTTGGTAGTCTTCTTTTGAGTACGAGGCATCGTCTTGGTCAAACAACAAATCAATCAATCAATCAATCTTCTAGCGTACTAGTATAGCAATGTAGCTTTGTAATAGAGCTTTGTTTGTGTTTCTATAGAAGCTCTTGGTGTCGGAAAATAACTCGGAAAAGCAGGTGTTCGGGGCAGGAATTTGGTGAGGTCGCTCTGGACCTGGCATTAAGAAACTATTTATATCTGGGTAACTCAGATTTGAGCAAAAGGAAGTGAACCTTTGGGCCTACGGTAGACTGCCCAGTTTTTAGATAAACTACGAGTATTGACACACAAAAGAGTATAGAACAATTTCATAGGACTGCTTGAAAATGCTTCTAGAGTTTGCAACCTTCCTTCTGATGGCCAAAGACTGCCATCACGCCACTCAGGCAATTCCAGCACAACTCAACCCACCCAATGGTCCAGTTTTCAGGGAAGATGTCCTTGTTGATCCACTAAGTCTTATTTAGGTTCCAAGTATAGAGACACAGTTCTAGACTGAGATCTGCAGGCTCAGAATACAGAAAGAAGTGAGAGTCCAACTAGGAAGCGCCCCAGTTGAATCAGCAAAATATCCTTCTTATGTTCAAGGATTCCACTTTTAGGTCAAGTGGAGCTACTAGACTATAGCAAGATCATGTCAATATGGGCGTCTATAGAGGTTGTAAACCTCCCCTCCAGACTAGGATCCAGGCAAAAGGCAATGGCCCTGGTTATACCAGAGAGGCCTGCTGCTGTATCACAGACAGACCTACTTCCATCCAATTTACCCGGGCGGGAGGGAAGGGAAAAAGGAAAATTGGTGTCGGGCGGCTGCAACTCTGGTTCAGAAAAAGTGAACCTGATTTGTAGCCGCCCGATTAGTAGTCCTTCTAGCTAGTCATCAACACCACATAGGCACACACCTGTGCACCCGACACTTCGGTCCACCACCTCATCCTTGGATGAGTGGCTCTCCCGGATTCCTGTCCGTCAGTCTCCCTTATGGTCGGCTCCCTGTTAACTCATACTCTCCGTTCTGTAGAATCTCTTCATTCCCTGTCTGGGAAGGTGGGCGATTCCACTTTTAGGTCAAGTGGAGCTACTAGACTATAGCAAGATCATGTCAATATGGGTCTATAGAGGTTGTAAACCTCCCCTCCAGACTAGGATCCAGGCAAAGGCAATGGCCCTGGTTATACCAGAGAGGCCTGCTGCATGTATCACAGACAGACTACTTCCATCCAATTTACCCTCCGTCGGAGCCAGACCTCATGACTGACCATAGATTATCCCCCGTGTCGGCCGGCCAAGCCGCCAATTACGCCGCCACTGCCAGGGAGGTGGCGAGCTTTGCGTGTTGCTGTTGTTGCTGCTGTTGTTGTTGTTGCTGGCGTTTTTATGTCCCGACCCGGCTGTAGAGTTACCTGCTTTCATCAGCGGAAGCCGGTGTCGGTCTTGTATACGTCGATTTGATACCCGCCAGGCACCTTGGGGTCCAGCTTGATGTCCTAGAACGCCATCTGCCAGGGCGGGTCCTTGGATGGTACCCTTCCGTCCGTTGTACTTGTCGTTGCGGGAGATGTATGATGCGGTCACCCTTCTTCCACTCGCGGTATGGTTTGACGAAGGCACGGTTCTTGCGGGGCTAGCGGGTGTTGGTGCTGCGGATGGTGTTGGAGTGGGTGTTGCCGCCCGCAGTTTGGCTTCCAGCTCTAACTTGGCCACTCGTGCCGTGAGGAACGCGCAGGTCGTCTTGCACGAGGGTGTACCGAGTCTGAGATGTCTTGGACCTGTTCGGTGAGTAGTTCCAAGTCGTCACAGTATCGTACCATGTCTCTGAGTCGTCATGGTGGACTAGGTGTTGGTTGTTTGTGGAAGATCGATTGCAGTTGTTTGGTCGTTTTTGAGTAAAGTGAGGACCGGCATTTGGTGTGACCGTAGGATTGAATGGTCTGGGGCACCCGTCCAGCGCGTTGACGCGCGGAGTGTTGTTCTTTAAATAACTGGGATGCCCGTCGTGCCGTGGCAACGGTGGCTTCTTCGCTAAATCCATAAATAATTTTGTCGCCGATGTGAGCGGGCCAGCCGAGAGTTCTTTCGATGTGTCCCAAGCGAACTCTCGGTGGGACAGCGTGATGAGTAGTGGATCGATACTTCCATCGCTTGCCGTATCGAGTGGTACCTTCTCTGCTGTTGACACAAATGGATCCCATCGTAACCCTCTCCAGTGATGTCGTCCTCGTAGCGAAACACTTTCGTTGAGTGGAGATGATGGAGTTGATGGCGTAGAGCAGGTTGGTAACGGTAGTCTTCACGGTGGTGCAAGCAGTAGTTGTTGTGGTGCTCAACAAAAAAATGTCGAAGCAGCCCAAAGTGCAGTTGCTACTCCAAAGTCCCACTGGTTTCCTAGCTGCAGTTGTTGGCAACGCCTTCCTTGAAAGTTTGCCCCCTGAAGAACGTGCTGCTATGAACGTTGCGCAGCCTACTACCGAAGATGCTGCTCCTGAAGCTTACGCCGCCCCTTCGGGCAAAAATTCCACGGCCGTCTCTGTTAGCTCCAACCTTGAGGATATGGAAGAGGAAGACGCCGACGATGATGACAACCGCCGCATTGCCGCCCCCGGTTTCCATCCCTGTTGGGAGTCCGATGATGAAGAAGAGGAGGCAGGGATGATATGGGTCCGACGAGGATTTCGAGGAAGAAGCGTCGGACGAAGACGAGGAGCCCGTGGTGGTTGGCGTGAAGTCTCCTCCCCCAGAAGTGGCCGTTCCCGTCCGTCGGGGCACCGTGGCGTCATCTACGTGATTCTCTCTCAACAAA